GGTTTGTGCTCTCTTCCGGGACAGTCCGCCCTGGGTAGCACACACTCACCCGTCCTGATGGGATTCCTCAGCAACTAAACAGGGCCGCCAGTAGCCCAATGATCGAGGGCCAACAGGATGAATGGAGCAAGGGGAGGGGGGTGGTATCCAGGAGCGCGCAGGAAGCCTGGCGCCTGAGCTGAAGGTGCCCGGCTCCCTTACAGGGGACCCTGAGGCCTGCCCGGCTGGCAGGCACTCACCACTCTGGGTTGGTCGCCTTAGTTTAGGAGCTTAAGACTGTAGTTGAGCACTGGTCCTAGCATACAGCAGGGCAGGGTTGGGGAGGGGTGCTGGGTCGTGCGAAAGAAAGACAGCCCTGCAGAAGGAGCTGGGGGAGGGGGTTTGTGCTCTCTTCCGGGACAGTCCGCCCCTGGGTGGCACACACTCACCCGTCCCGATGGGATTCCTCAGCAACTCATAAGTATTTTCTAGAACTCAATAAAGTTAGTTTTCTGGTAAGGTTTACCTTTTATTAAATGTTGTTTCCAAAAATTAAGTTCTGATTCAGAATTGCTTCTGTAACTTGCTGTTGTACAGCAAGCTGCATAGCAAGATCTCAAACAGGTGTAGAATTTTTTTACCTTCGATTCCAGTTTTAATGTTTTTGAATGATGTGATACATGACAGCATGGCTGCTCTAGTTGATATACACAGTTTAGGGTAGAAAGAGTGTAGTTTCGCCCACAATTCCAGGCTATAATTCATCGCTGGGGAAGTCAAAACAACAGGAATGGCATCCAGGTAAGAGCAGAGAGCAATGGATGCACAATACTGTTACCTTTCTCTTACAGCTTAAGGGCCAGTGCCACTTCTCTTTCAGGTTGGTTCTTCCTAATCAGTGAAAGCAGTTCAGCCCCCCCCCCCCCCCCCCCACAGACATGCCCACAGGCCAACCTGATCTAGACAAACCTTGGCAGACTTAGGAAATCCTAGGTGGGTGGTGTTGACAAAATTAACATTAAAGGGGCTGGAAAGAGGCTCAGCCTTTAAAGAGCACTTTTTGCTTTTACATAGACCCAGGTTTAGTTCCCAGCACCCGCACAGCAGCTCACCAACAGATGCTCAAAGGTCACAAGATGCACATAGTATACACATACACTCTCAGGCACACACACATACCCAAAACATTAAGTATTTTCAAAACACTAACATCACTTGAATGAATGAACACACTTTCCATTCATGGTTCTCAAAGTACCTTTCTTAGAGCAAGCTGAAACTCTAGCCATACACTTGTACTGTGATAGTGGGGAGACAGGAAGGAGGGTCAGGAGTTCAGTATAAGAGGGAACCTTCCCTTCCCCCCAGTCAAAAATATTGCTCAGTGAATTCTACTGAGTTTTAAAAAAAGATTTATTTATATATATGCATGTGTGTAGGTTCCTGAGGCCGGAAGACTCCCTGTGTGGAGGCTGGGAGTCAAACTCCTGTAGTCCTCTGCAAGATGAGCAAGTATTCTTAACTGCTGAGCTATCTTTCTGGCCCCTTCTGAAGTGTAGTAGCATACTTCTAGTCATTAGACTAGTCTTAAACATACTATTTCATTTGTAATACATTCACTGAAAACAGGATTTTGGCTTTTTAACTTAACTGCATTCCATAACTTCATTTAAAAGCAAGCAGCCAAAGTGTTGTAGGGCCTTCACAAGTATCCCAGGCAGTTTGCAAGGCCATTCGTGTATGAGAAACACAAGTCGTAATATGGTGGCTGGCTGTAAACTGAGCCTTTCAGTCTCAACAACTATTGGCATTTAGGATATATCTGCATTCTAGAGCGTTAACAGTAAGTATATCTGGCCTCTCGTTAGGTGCCAGTTAAACTTTCCCCTCCGCACATTGTGCCAACAAGAGATCACATCTTTCAAATTTAGCCCTCGACAACTGGCTAGGAAAACATTCATAGAAGTTGAGAGAATTTTTCCTTCAAGTATAAGCTGCTATAAATTGTTTTCAAGAAGTTAAACTTGTAAATGCCAGCGCATGTATGCTCTCTGTAACCTCCGTACTATTAGTCCAAAGCAGAATGTCTACTGCATTCATAGCTCCTCATTTGCTGAGGGTTTTTAGCTCTAGTTCTCTAAGCCTACCTTCTACCCCCAGGATTCAAGATTCTAAGCTTCTGGAACAACTCTTAACTTTCTGGAAGGACTAAGCCTGTTACTTTGGAGCCTTTCTTTATGCTACAATTAACAACCTAGCCATTACAAGTTATAAACCAGATGGCAGGCTTAAAGTTTTAGGTGTTTGTGTGTGCAGGTGCCCACGGAGACCAGAAAGAGGGTGGTAGATCTTCTGGAGCTAGAGTTACAGGTGGTTTTGAAGAGGCTGATATGGTTGGTATAAACCAAACTCTGATCCTTAAGAAGAAAAGCAAGTATTCTTAACTAGTGAACTTGTAGTGCTTAGGGTAAACCTTTGTGTAAGAATATAAGGTGATGCTATGGGTTCAACGTTATAAAGTAATAGTGAATGGCTTCTCCCCTGTTGCTGTCCAGTTTGAACACCCGGTTAGGTCATCTGGTATTAAATCCAATCAATGGATAACATTTGAGCTTAAAACACCAAGATATTTCTTCAACTTCTTTACCGGCTGTTCTTATATTAACTTTTACTGTTTTCCTGAAATTTTAACTATAAATAAGCATAAACCTCAAAGCTATAGAGTTTGAGTTCCTTGCCTCTTTTTTCGATATTGATTTTGGTGACCTGATCTCGATTACAAGATTTACCACCTCACTGGGTGGCATTTCACTTAAATGCCTAACAGGATATCCCCTAATTTATATCCAAAGCCAAGCTCATAATGTTTCTTTTAGTAAGTTAAGCCTTCTGTAACTATAATGAAATCCTCAGGAAGTTTATTTCAGCATTGAAGGTTTCAGTGGTTGGTTATCCTTGTTTCTTTGGTCTACGATGAGGCAGCAGCATATGGCTGAGGGCAGTGTAGACCTAAACCACTCGCTCATCAGCCAGGGAGCGAGAGAGTGAAATGACTGGCAGTTGGATTCTACATTTTCCTTGGGGTCATGAGAAGTTTCCTTTAGGCCTTACTTACTTCCTAGACATTCCACCTGTCATCCTAGGGACTAAGCCTCACACATGGTCCTCTGGTCCTTAACGGAACCACAGCAGGCCCCGATAGAGCCATGCTGTTTTTAAGCAGAAAGGATCTAAGGCTTGTCATGTACATCCACTGTAGTGTCACTGTCTCTCCTGTGGCCCCTAGTCTAAGATTTGCCTTGTGGGAAATCTCAGTGGTCAACTATCAGGTTACTGCTTTCCTTCATCACTCCTCTTAAGGTACTGACCACTTACAGGTGTATGTCTTTTGCTTAGGTTGTTTCCTACCTAAGAAAATAAACCTGTCGAGCTATGACCCATACCCCTGCCCTTCTTATTCACTTGCTGTTGCTTGAGCCACCTCACCCGTTCTGGATGTCCACTCCCACCTTAGGACATTTGTTATTTTTGCTCTCCTTCCTAGTGAGTGCACTCAGCACTTTCATGGGTCGGGAGGGTAGGGTGTTTTTTTTTTTTTTTAACTCTTTGTAGTTTTGCTCAAGTGAGATTTGCTCTGACCATTCTTTAAGAGTACAATGCAAGCCTACTTCTTACCCCATTGTTTTCTACCACTTGGCTAAAGTAGGAGGAAGACAAGGCTCTTTGATTTATGAAGTATCTCGGAAGGAACAGATACACAGCACATGCTTGATATTTCTTTAACAAAGTAATTTAAGATTTCAGATTAGTATTTCATGAAAACAAAAGAGAAATAATCAGAATGAATGCCCTACTTCTAAGCTAGTTGAGGTTTCAGTTTTCCTCAACTAAGGGCTGAATTTTCGAGGATGTCAAGTAATTATAACACATCATTTTAATGGTTTAGTATGACAAGTATTTTTGATATTATGAGAACAGTTCCTGTTGTGCTGCTCTTAATCTTAGATGGCAGAGAAAATCAGCATGCATATGGCATGTACAAATGTAGGTGAATACCTAGGAAAAGAAAAGAACATGTGCCTTGGCAAGATAAAAATCTGCCAGTGTTAACGGTGTTAAGACCAGCCTCTGTATTTTACATGCATAAAATGTTGTATTGTTTAAAGAAACATTTTCTGATCTAGGCATAATGGTAAAAGCCTTTCTTTATAATCTCAGCACTTGGGGGAGATCATAAGTTTGAGGCAGGCAAGCAGGCCTGGGTTACCCAACAGTGAAGCCAGCCTGGGGCATCAGTTTCTCAGTTTTATCTGGGATACGTACATCTGTGTTGAGGGATTAAAATGAATTTTGCTCTCAGAGCAGGCCTGAGTTTAGTTCCCAGCACCCACATCTGGGGGGATCAACAGCTGACTCTAACTCCAGGTTTTTGGAGCCTGTTCTGAAACTAGCTCTTGTAGGCCAGGTTGTCCTTGAACTCACAGAGATCCTGTCTGCCTCTGCCTCCCAAGTGCTGGAACTGACAGCATGCGCCAGCACCACCCGGCTGTGAAGGCTTTTTATTTTATTTTATTTTTTTTTTCAGTTTTTCGAGACAGGGTTTCTCTGTAGCTTTAAAGCCTGTCCTGGCACTAGCTCTTGTAGACCAGGCTGGCCTCGAACTCACAGAGATCCGCCTGCCTCTCCCTCCCGAGTGTGTGAAGGCTTTTTAAAGAGTTTTTTTGTTTGTTTGTTTTTTTGTTTTCCTGAACATGGGCTCTCTGGATCACCTGTAAGGCAATTTTGGCATCCGTCTCTAAATTCTTGGGGGGGTGGGGGTGGGGGGGGGTGAACATTAAGTAAGCTTTAGGTGTCCAATCCTTAAGTTCTTTGCATGAAAGAGATCCTGATATTTTATCCGGGTCTTTATATTTCTGAGTTTTGTCAGCTTGGGTGCACTTTGTGAAGGCCTTTACTAGCTGTGCTGTGGGTATCTTCGACTGTTCATGTGAATATTTTGACATTAAATATAAAGCCAAACAGCAAGAAAAACACCTGTTTTTTATTTTATACAATACGCATAGTGTGAGGAGTGAAAGTATCTGGAGAAAGGCATGAGTACTGCTGACCAAGTGTAAGTAACTTACTCTGGATAAGAAAGTATGTCATTTATACACTATACACTCAACTCTTTGTTTAGAATTTAGTAATAACTGTAGCAAGTATAGTTACATTGTGTAAAAGCTTTTGGTCATTTATGCATTTGTTGATCAGATTTGAAGTACTCCAAAGACGTTTCGATGCACTGATTTCAGGTTAGCAGTGCACTTTTTGGTTAAACTCAGCTCAGCAGTAGTTTCTTCTGATAGCGTGTCAGATGTGGAACACCTGTCTTCACTTATTTGCTTTTTAGCAGCCTCCCCATGTCAGCCTTGCTACATGGTCAGTCTTCTGTTTTGTAGGTTTTATAAAGCCCAAAAGCTCTAGTTCAGAAACAGCTCTAATAAATCGAGCACTGGAGACTCTAGCTAAGGAAAATTAGTTTTTTTCACAAGAAGGCTAAAATTTCAAAGTTAAAACAGTAACTAACTGGTAATTGAAATAGGTAGTTAAAATAATATTCCCTAAACTTTAAATAATCCTATTGGAAAATTTAAATGCAGTTAGAATACACTGCTAATAAAGCTCAGATGGAGCTGTGTGGGATGGTGCACACCTATAGCAATCCCAGCATTATATAAGAACTGACTCTTTCCCAATCTTCTAAAGATGTATTTACAGACTGGATATAAGTTGAATTCTAGGTTTGATCTCAGATTAATTCAGGACACTTGGAAATGTAGGTGGTTGTAGAATGGTATGGTTGAGAAGGATACATCTATGAATTACTAGATGTGGCTTTTTTGTTTGTGTACTTTTTGTGCTGGGGCTTGGATTCTAGGCCCTCCCTGTGTTTAATTAAGAACATGCTGTATCACTGACCTGGACTCTCAGGCCCAAGAAAAAAGAAACTTAAAAAACTTTTACTAAGACACCATAGGCCTGGTTTTAAAAGGATACTGGATTATTTCATTCATTTCTTCTGAGCTTGTAGAATTTGCATCCATTTTTTCAGCAGCTGTCACAACTGTTGCAAAAGCCTTTTGAGTACACAAGAAAAGAAAATTTGTTGCTAGGCATCTTTTCTGTACTAATCAGGCATTAGTACTGCTACTGTAGATAACTGGCACATCTTTTTCATGTCAGACTTCAGATTCCCAAAACCATACTAATATAACACTGGCTCTTTATATGCTAGTTTTAGAGAACTAACGCAGAACAGCAAAAAAAAAAAAAAAAAACAGCTAGTTAAAAATTTAAAAAGCAGCTGGGCAGGGTGGCGCACACCTTTAATCCCAGTACTCGGGAGGCTTGGCAGGTGGATCTCTGAGTTCGAGGCCAGCCTGGTCTACAACAGCTAGTTAAAGGACAGGCACAAAAGCTACAGAGAGAAACCCAGTCTCAAAATACCAAAAAAAATTAAAAAAATAAATAAATAAAAAGCAAAGAAAGCCGTTGTCTCCTCTTCTTTCAGTCTTATTCCAGGAAGATGCATATTTTTCTTGGTAAGAGCTAATTCAGCACATCCTTTAATGTTGAGTTAAAATCTCTTTACTACTCTTCTCGGGATAGCAGCACTTGTCCTTTACCTTGAGGGCATTTCCTGAAATGTTCTTCCTGACTGGAATTTCTCCTGTTGTACGAAGGGTACTCATTACACCCTGTATTCTGTGGAGTGCACAGACTGACTGGAGTCTTTTTTTTGCTTTTAAAGAATGCAGGATAAGAACAAAGCTTGTGAATACAGACTGCTAAGATGCTACTTCCTAAGGAACTTCTGAAGTGTAACAATTTGTTTCCCAAACAAAAATGAAAAAATAAAAGTTGAAATCAAAACAATTTGAAAAGTTGTAAGAACCTTGCCTGAAGCGGTTGAAGAACTATCACGTTCTCTCTGTGACCTACCTCTGACCAGTCGATCAGGTTAATAAGCCGGCTACACTCCAGGTGCAGTTTGTATGCTATGCAGATATCGGGGGCAGTATTTGGAATGCAGCCTTCCTCACTTTTCAATGCTTCATTCTAAAAACAGCAGATTAAAAGCGAACTTTTTAGAAATGATTAAAAGCGAAATGATTAGCTGAACTTCTTCCTGAGGTGGTTTGAAAGAAAATGGCCCACCAAAGATACTGTTAGGAGGTGTGGCCTTGTAGGAGGAAGTGTGTCACTGTAGGGGTGGGCTTTGAGGTTTCTTTCCCCAAGCTTCCCTTGCAAGGCTGTCACTCCTCTTGCCTGCCTATGAAGATGTAAGGAGTCTCAGCTCCAGCACCATGCCTGCCTGTATGTCAGCATGCTCGCTGCCATGATGATGAACTTAACCTGACACTGTAAGCCGCCACCACGATTAAATGTGTGCTTTGTAACAGTTGCTGTTGTCATGGGTCTACCCAAACTAAAACATTCCTAAATTTAGTAAATCAGAAAGTAGAATCTTTTAGTTTCCTTTCTTCATACTTCAGTAGTATTCAGCAAGGTTTTTTTTTCCCCTAAATCTTAATTATACATTATTATTTGTTGAGACTATCAAAACACATTTCAGTTTGCTGTAATTAGTTCAGAAGTCTCTGGGAATGGTTACCCAATCAAATGCTCCTTCCAACTGTTTAAACTCAATTCTAGCAATCATCATGTGGCATTAGTAAAAACATCTCATTAATAGGAAAGTAAAAAGTTATCTCTCAAAGAAAAAGACTTTGCTCCCAACACTGTACTATCTTTTTTAGTTTTTGGAAACATATAGCTTGGGCCAGCCATCATAACCCAGTTACAGATTTATTTTTGTTTATGTGTATGAATATGTCTATGTGAGCAGATGTCCTTAAGTACAAGCACCTGCAAAGACCAAGAGAGGGCACCAGAAAAGAGCTGTAGGCAATCGACCAGTGAGCCCTAAACTCAGTATTGGCTTTAACCTATTTGAAATCCATGTTTTTATTAAGAAACAAATCCCATACACAAAATGCATCTAAAATTACATCAGTTTTTTCTGTAACTCTGCCACTAAACATTTTAATTTTTAATTTATACATTAAAACTTTTGTTATTCCTAAAAAATTAATTCATTTAGTGGGGGGTGGGGGCGGGAGACTAATTTGCGGGTGTTAGGCTTCCTTCCCTCTAGTTTGAGTTTCAGAGTGAGTTTAATCAGGCTTTTGCCTACTAACTGAACCATCTAACCAGCCTGTTATTTAAATATGAAATTACCAAGAATGGAGAGTAGGCTCAGGGTGAGAGCACCTGCTGCTATAGGTCCTCCTTCAGGCAGCTCACAACACCTAATTTAAGCTCCAGGGCCTCTTGTGGGCACTGGGCTAACACGAGCTCATACACACACACACACATAATTAGAACAAGTCTTTAAATATGAATCTATCAAGCTCCTGATGACCACTGCCATTGAAAACCACTGCCGTTTAACTTCCTACTCTGTATTGTCTTCCCATACGTCACATTCACACTTTGCCACGAGCCGGCCATAGTTTGGGATATTTTTATGGGACATGTTTTTAGTTAAAAATTATTATGTGTATATGTTTGAGGAGGTTGTGGGGATGTATGAGGATGCATGTGCTATGTGTAGTACATGTGGAGCTCAGAGGACAACTTTGTGGGATCCACCTTTACATGGCTTTGGGATGAAACTCAGGTTCTAGGTTTATTACTAGGTAATCACTTTAGGCCCTTTATCCACTGAGCTGTGTGGCTGCCCACATGACTTTTTTCCAAGTCTCACTAAGTTAAAGCTGGCGCTGAACTTGATCCTTTTGCCTGAGCCTATGCAGTGCTACCACTCCGGACTTAGAGTGCCTTCTAAAACATCTTTTGTGAAAGGCAGACTTCTAGCTCTTCCTGCGCACACATGACCATGCAGGTACAACAACCCTATCCATCTACGAAAAACCTTATCATCTACCAAAAAAAAAAAAAAGTTTATTTAACTGTCATAAGAAAGGTAGCTTTCAACATTTGAAATGAATTAGTAATGTTCTAAGTTTTAGGCAGCTGTGTCTGCCATTGTACGCCTGAGGAGTTTCTGCAGCAAAGCCCTACAGCTGCTCTCAGAGTAGATGCCTCTTAGGTTTAAAAACCCAAGATGAAATCCCGGTGTAATTTTTCCATTTAAGGGGGCTGGAGAGATGGCCCAGAGGTTAAGGGCACTGGCTGCTCTTCCAATGATCCTGAGTTCAATTCCCAGCACCCACATGGTGGCTACAACCATCTGTATTAGGATCTGATGCCCCTTTCTGGCCTGTAGGTGTGCATGCAGAGTACATAAAAAATATATAAATAAAAAATTTAAAAATTCTCATTTTAAGTAAGCATTTGTAATTTTACACACGTTCATTAGGTCTTATCACCTGTTCACTGACAAACTGTTACCTACCTACAAAGGAATCATTTTTCACAAGAGTAAGGCATTATATTGTAAAGCTTTATGCCTATGATTTGTTTAAAAATTTTTGTGTGTGGGGGGGGGCATGTGTGTAGGTCAGAGGACGACTTTTGGGAGTCAGTTCACCTAAATCTAAGAATCTATTTTTTTCCTTAAGAAAATGTGAGTGCAGAACCCAGAGCTGCTAACTTTCATTACAGCAGAACTGCAAACTTTGAATATTTTTGTGGTGCTGATATCTGGGACTTGAGCTTAACTGTGGGAGAATCAAGTTTCCTTCTTACCTTAAGATAATAATAAGGATTGTTGAGTGCGGTGTGGAGGGCAATTCGTGGAGCAGCATTTAAGTGCTCGCGGAGCGTGTGGGCAGCACTGAAGTATACTACCTCATGCAAAGGCTGGCTCTCAGGAGGCAGAAGGTAAACTCTGAAACATATGTATAGGGTTATTTTCAATTCAACGGTTCTGTCAAGCCTCTATGTTACTTAAACAGTGAAATCCACAAACCAAAGACCAAAACTTATACTTCAATACTACTTTACAAACTTACTCTGTATTTTTTTTGGCTGCTCATGGTGGTCTACTTCATTACATCTGGGATCTTAAATGTAAAATGCAAGTAGCTGTGTGCTCCCATGAGGCATTTTTCTTTTGGATCATTTGAGGTAGGAAAACCCATGTTTAATCTAGCCCACACCTTAAGGCAGTCCATAAGAAGGGAGTGGAAGAGAACTTCATCTTTTTTGTTTTGTTTTTTTGAGACAGGATTTTTCTCTGTAGCTTTGGTTCCTGTCCTGGAACTAGCTCTTGTAGACCAGGCTGGCCTCAAACTCAGAGATCCACCTGCCTCTGCCTCCCGAGTGCTGGGATTAAAGGCGTGCGCCACCACTGCCCAGCAAGAACTTCGGCTTTTTGCCTGCTTGCCCTCGTTCTCATTGGAAGTTCATACATCCTTTTGATGAGGCATTCCTTCACTGGTTATTAGCGTCTACCTCTTCAGGGCTCTGACATAATGAAGGCTAGAGCTGAGACATCAGCCTTGTGGGCTGAACAACCATTGGATTGGATTCTTGGGACTTTCCATCAGGATCATGCAGCCTGTAAGGCACTCTAATAAATACTCTGTATACTCATGTACATACATGTACATACATACATTCTATCAGTTCGGTTCCTCCAGAGAACTCCAATATAATACTCCTAAGGAGAAACTATTTGTTTCAGTTCTAAGTTAAACGTTTAGTCAAACATTTGAACATTTGTTATATTTATGCTTAAAATCTCTAATGGATAATTTCTTGAAGTATTACTGAATTTCCTAAGTTATTCATAAAACATATCAACATTTTTACCATAGCAAGCATTCTAGGCTTTGGGAAAGTGGTAAACAGTACTGAGTTTAGGAAATCTTTATTATCAGGAAAAAAAAACAGTTGATATTTTTCATGGAATGATGTCCAGGAGCTTTTTAATTTTTTTAAAAAAGTAGCTAAATCGGGGCTAAAGAGATGGCTCATTGAATAAAAGCAACTGCGTTACAAATGTGAACCTGAACCTGAATTCCAAGTACCAATTCTAAAAAGCCAGCTGTGGCCGGGTGCACATGTAACCCCAATGCTGCAGGACTGACATCTAAATTCAGGTTCAGTGACAGATGCTGTCTCAGTGGACACCTGATGCCCTCTGGCATACACACACACACACACCACACAGAAAAAAAGAAAAAACCCTCTAAGGCTAAACTTTAGTTTTAAAGTCTTTAAAAAACAAATTGTTCACTAATAAAATTCAATTATTACAAAGCTGAGCATAACTTCTAACTTTATCTTTTGCTGATGAGCTAGACGACAAATTTACTTTTAATCTGTGCTGAGTCAGTGACAGTGCCGTGACTGCCACAGTCTGGGTTCTGCAGGGAAGCCTGCTGGGCAGAAGCAGTGCCGTGACTGCCACAGTCTGGGTTCTGCAGGGAAGCCTGCTGGGCAGAAGCAGTGCCGTGACTGCCACAGTCTGGAGGCTGCAGGGAAGCCTGCTGGGCAGAAGCAGTGCCGTGACTGCCACAGTCTGGAGGCTGCAGGGAAGCCTGCTAGGCAGAAGCTTTGGCATACAAAGTGCAATGGCAGAACAGTAGGTTCTAACCTGGATCAAAACAGCTCCTATGAGTCTTAGAGTCCTATGCTTATTGCGTGTTAGTCACATTACTGGCTGTGTATCCAAAGACATTGCTGCTGTCCTTCCTCCTCTTACTGCCCTAGCCCTTTACCTCCATGCACTTATTCTGTTCTGCTGCTCTCTGTGACCAAAGAGGAGAGGAAGGGAAGAGGGCACTGGCCATGCAAATCATTCCTCACCACCACCTCCTTCTACCTCAAGAGTTCCTGACCCTTCTCATGCTGCGCTCAGATGCTGGTCCTTATCCACAGTGCGCTTGTAAAGCAACATAGATTTTGAATTACCAGTCTGCTTGTATTTCATTTTAAATATCTTTTCTCCAGACCTCAAAGCTCTGTCCAATATCTGTACTCCAGGTCTTGTGGAAAATAATGGAAAGGGTTTCCGGCAGAGCAGGGCCGCGTGGCACAAGCAGCCTCTCTCTTAGCTTACTTGCCCTCTTTCTCTTCTGTTTCCTTGCACTTCCTTCTTCCCCTTCCGCTTTTAGCTTTAACAGACTACAATCTTAATCTTTGTGTGGGAAACTTTGTGATTTCACAACCAATTTCAATCATTCTCATTATTTCAGCAGCTGGTAAAAGGTTGAAGAGTCAGATTTAAAAGGCAAGATGTCAGAAGACTGGCTGGGTGGTTGGAGAGCCTCAAATGCTGGGTTACAGGCACAAACCACCACATTCTGCTCTACTTTTGACTGCCTAAGTCATTTTCCTTGGTACACGTCCTACTTTAAAATCTATAACATGGTCCAGGTTTCCAAAAGGTCACTTGGATGGATAATTTCATGTACACACATAACACTGTCCTTTGGGAAATACACAAAATGGTCTTCCCAGGAAAAATCACAAAACAAACTAGGAGACTTTGATAGTTACTCGTCAGACACTTCAATGTACATTTGGTGCTGATATTTAGTTGACCTGATAAAATATTAAGAACAAAGCAGTAACATGGCTAGTATACAATGTCTGTTTCTTGGCTTAGTCCAGATCCAGCATTTACTACTTAAATAGGCAGAAAAATGATAAAAGTACAATGCAAAACAGGAGAAATACTTTGAAACTTCCCATTTTTCCTCACCAGCCTAATGGGCTAAATGAAGTTTAAACCTGCTTTCTTCCTGACTAACAGTAAAAAATTAACCAAACCATTTGATTAAATAACTCAACAAGGACAGAAGGTCAATAAAAAGTGTTAACTCTACTTAGATGGAAGAAACATCCTGGATTGGGCAGCTAGTTACTAGTGTTATTTGGGAAAACAGGGTTACTTTTAGGTCTTGAGAGCCTCAGACTCACCTCACCAGGTTGTCGATGAAGTTCACAACATTTTCTCTGAGCATTTCAAACTTGGTTTGCTTCTTAGTTGTTCTCCTTAATTCCTTCATTTCCAATAAGGACTACAGGGCCACAGTGGGGAGTGGGTAAACAAACATGCTATTTTTGGTGAGTTTAGGAGAGAAACACTTTCAGAGAGAGCTGTCACTCAAGTAAAGATGCCCTTATGCAGAGTACAAAGAACCAGATCAAAATGTGTTTTATTTTCTGTTAAGACTCTGCCCTCTACATGTTCTGCTTTAAACATACAGCAAGGAAAGAAGAGAGCAGTTTACTGCACTGCTCCGGATTACAAGAGAGCTCACTATTTAGAAAGTGTTAGTTCATTTACGAGCATGAGGGAGCATGCCAGAAGAGAAGGAACAAAACACCATCCATTGCCACCACAGCTTTGGGTCACATTAACAACAGAGTCTCTGGATTTAGTTTTTACCCAGACTGAAATTCTGTGCTACATTTATAACTTAGTAGTATGGTACAAAGAAGGGTCTTCATTTGGCAACCGAGGGCTGAAAGTGCATCATCTGAGAACAACAACAGACTGTGGCTCAGTTTTGTTTTTGAATGGTAATCCAAAAAGAAAAAAACAGATTGTAGTTCAGTGGTAGGGTTCTAGCTGATGGAGACATCCTGGGTTTGGTTCCTGCATCATAGGTAGGGGTGTGTGTATGTGTGTATGTGTGTGTGTGAAGAAAATTGGCCTTAGGTTCTCCCAACTCTTGGATCAAAAAAGTAAGTACATTATATCTACATGTTCTTTTTGTAAACCATATATAGACCTACTTTTTCCTTACAGTTAATATTGCTTTCTTCCTTGAGGCTTCAGGAATGGTTTCTATATTACCTAGTAGACTGTGTGCATGTACAATCTAGGATGATAGTGAGACAAACAGTACGACAGGACACAATGGAATCTGCCTCTAGGTGGAGACTTCGCCTGTCTTCTCACACAGGTCAAGGTCCAGGCTGAGTGGCACTCCTAGTGAGGCTGGTTCATTTCCATTAAGATAATGTGGTTTCCTTTGCAGCATTCCTAACATCTAGTCACTAAAGAACCTCCCTGCCGTTTGGCTGGGCCTGTCTTTCTGAGTATTGCATCGGACATACTTATTCCTTTTTCTTTTGCATGCTGGCCAGAGCCTATGCATACTTTTTAACTTCCTTACCCTTCCATATTCTCCAAAGCCACCCTTCCTGCCTTGTGGCTGCCTGCTTATTTTCCTATTTTTGTCCTCTGGACCACTGCTAATTTTTTTATTCATTAATAAGAGAAAGGACCCCAAAACAGGACCTCAATTTCCCTGGTATTGTATGATGGTTCCTCAAGATTTCCTGTAATACTCCTTCTCTACCTTCTAATTCTTCAGTAGGCACAGAAAATCAACCCCATCTTGCAGTTTATATGACATCAATATGTTTCCTTTATCAGTTGCAAAGTTACTGGTTGTGATGTAAAAAAATGAAAGTGGAGACATTCTGGCAGAGCTGGTCTAGACTAGTTGGAACAACACACCACTCCTAAAGCAGCTGGAAGGAAAAGAAAGATACCTAACCTTTTGAAGGTGATAGAGGTCTGTTTTCTGCAGCCCCTTTGGCTGGGATCCACAAGCATCCTCTTCCTCTTTGCTATCTGTTTTGAATACAAAACCAATATACAATAGAGGGAACAAACATTTACACTAATTCAATGGAAGTAAAAGTTACACTTTTCTTTTTAACATGAACAAGATTCTATCAGACAAATGACATTCACTCCAAAACTAAAAGCACTACATAGTACACAGAGGAGATGTCAATAAGGTCTTCAACTACTAGCTACTGAATTCTGAGTGTGTTTTGAACTAACAAAGTAAAAGCCTGCATAAATATCTTAAAAAAAAAATCAAACTTGAAACTATGTCTCTTTGACCTCCCTAGACTGTAAACATTGAAAGCTACATTCTGACAAACCTAGTCTCAGCCTTGCAATTTAATATTCATTCCTGTTCAGCAAGAGGAAGGTAATGTAAAAGCTGTAGTAAAATCAGTTCGATAACTGATAAAATGTGTAACTATGCTTCTGCAGGGGATGACATGCTGACTTGGTAACCTGACACTGGGCAATGATCTGCTTCATGTATGGCTGAAGAATTCAGTTTAAACACACACGCACACACACATTCTTTTTTTTTTTAAGATTTATTTATTTATTATGTATACAACATTGTGCCTCCATGTCTGCCTGCACCACAGAAGAGGGCGCCAGATCTCATTACAGAGGGTTGTGAGCCACCATGTGGTTGCTGGGAATTGAACTCAGGACCTCTGGAAGAGCAGCCAGTGCTCTTTAACCTCTGAGCCATCTCTCCAGCCCCGCACACACACATTCTTAAAGAATCAGAAGATAATCCATGATTTTAAAAAGGCTAAGGTTAAGATAACTACTAGCTAAATTCTTTTTTTTTCATTTTATTAACTTGTAGCAGAACCTTAAAAGTGATTGTAACACTCAGCCTGATTTAATGTCCTCACCCCATTTAAATCCCAATTATAATATGCCATTAGTGTATAGAAACCAGAGGTTTAAAAAAACCAAATATTTCTTCCTGTGAGAAATGTTGAGTGTATTTTATTATTAAGAATTGACTTTTAAAAACTGAGAAATAGACAAATCACCAGGAGGGTGGTTTTGCTTTAACTCAAAAAACACTTTATTTTTTATACTGTTGTCAATCATTTTAATCTTCAATCTTTCGTTTCAGAAGCTGTGATCCTTCAGTGCTAGTGTAACAATGGATCTGTTCACTAATTCATCTCACACAAAGTCTAATTAAAATTATTACAGTAGGGGCTGGAGAGATGGCTCAGCGGTTAAGAGCACTGACTGGTCTTCCAGAGGACCCGGGTTCAATTCCCAGCAGCCACATGGCAGCTCACAACTGTCGGAAAATGCAGTTCCATGAGATCTGACACCTTCACACCAATGAACACAAAGTTAAATAACTCATTAAAAAAATAATGAGAGCTGGAGTTTTGAAAAAAAAATTATTACAGTATCATGATATCAGTTTCTTCTTAGAGAATTTCTGAGTCCAATTTATTTTATATTCTATACTTTTGGCGATACTTATATTCTTAATAGTGGCTTCTCATTGGTGAAACTACAATTGTGAACTGATCTCTCTCACGCACGCTCGCACACACACACTGACCTGGAGGTCAAGAAAGCTGGGTTAAAGTCTAGGTACATATTAGATAGCTGTGAAATATCAAACAGCTTACTTTTTCTTCCTAGATTTCAGTTTCTAATATCTAAAATGATCTCAATTTCTAAAATTTTTACTTTTGTAAAGTGTTTCAGGTCATTGTTAAGGTGTTAAAAGATCACCACACATATTTTGGAGGGAAGTCTTCTTAGCACCTTTGTAGAATTGCTCATCCTGCCTGTTTGTACCAAACCACTTTGATCTTTTATAATTGAGTTCTCATCAGAGACCAGCCTGCATAAAAGATACAGGAAAGATTCCCACAAAAAAGTTTCCTTAGAAAAGGGAACTTCTCATAAAAAGGAGTTTAAAGACAAATAAAGACAGAAGGGATTCAAACTGCAAACAAAGTATTTTTGAGATGCCATATCTAATTCTGTTGCCTCTGTATCAATCAAGCCTCTTTCCTTGGCCCCATCCCAATACCCACTAGATCAGGAAAGAGTATAAAATGGTCTAGCTGAAGAATCAATTGTCTCCAGGTATGTCCACCCAATTTCATCTCAAGAACAAAAATGTTCTTCCATTTAATTTTCTGCGTTGTTTAAACAAATCTAGAGGAGAAGCACTTTGCCTATTTGTGGTTGCTGAGATGTGACATTCTGAGCCTTGCCTGCTGGCTGAGCTTGAAGAGTTTCAATGGCATTCTGGTTCAAAACTGTCATGCCAGCAAGAATGGGCAGCATTTTACACTTACTTACCATCAAGGTTCTGAAACTGGGTCAGGAAATCCTTTACTTTTTGTGTTGTGCTGCCAAGCTGCTTTTCAGCAGAGGAACTCAAAACCTCACAACACTTCTCAAGCACGCTCACCAGTTCGTCCTTTGCCAGCATTCTACAAAACAATCAGTGGCAGATCTGACAGAACTAAAACATTAGCACACCCAAAACCTTTTCTACGTATGAAATGTTTTTGTTCAGAGATGAAATAAAAAAGAGAGACTTTGTTCAATGTTACATTTAGAAGTATAGAGTTATAACAATATGCTTAGCTGAGGGAGTAGCCAGAGGTTTGTGTTTATAACCTGGTTCTGATTCTGTAAGAACAAGCTCCTTACTTATATCTGGTCCTTGGTATCCTTATCTGTAAATGGGAACAACACTTCACTGTGTTATGTGGCAACCTCCAAACTGAAACATTCCCTTCTGGGTGGAGGCTCAGGAAATAAATGAAGCCTACAATACTTGAGCAGAAAATAGAAGTCATGGGTTCCAGAAACTTAGAAAACAAACAGTACATAATGAACTTTGAATGTATATAGTAAAGAATTAGTATATCAAAATGTCTAAGCTACAATGGGTAAAATCAGATGGTGGCACTGATTTAGATAGTAATAATATGCCAACAGAAAAGGAAAAACATTCAAAAAGAGATCAAGGAATACATGGAAGTTAAGTATATATCACAGATAGCATTTCAAATCACTAGGGAAGCTATGCCAGGTGTCAGAGAGCACCACTTCCCATTTTATACACAAGTCTATTCTAAGAGAGGAAAAATGTATGCTTTGGGAACAGGAAAGAAACAGCTCAGCTGGGCGGTGGTGGCACACGCCTTTAATCCCAGCACTTGGGAAGCAGAGGCAGGTGGATCTCTGTGAGTTCGAGACCAGCCCAGTCTACAAGAGCTAGTTCCAGGATAGGCTCCAAAACCACAGAGAAACCCTGTCTTGAAAAACCAAAAAAAAAAAAAAAAAAAAAAAAAAAAAAAAAAAAAAGAAACAGCTCATCCCAGAAGAAGCAAAGATGCTAAAGCCAGGGCTGGAGAGATGGCTCAGTGGTTAAGAGCATTGTCTGCTCTTCCAAAGGTCCTGAGTTCAATTCCCAGCAACCACATGGTGGCTCACAACCATCTGTAATGAGGTCTGGTGCCCTTTTCTGGCCTGCAGGCATACACACAGACAGAATATTGTATACATTAAAAAAAAAAAGGATGCTAAAGCCAAACAAAACCATTTGTGAAGAAGCAGACACACTGTTAGCACCACATGCCCCGGGCAAATCAACTTTATAGTTTACTTTCAGAAAGTCTACATCCATGTATTCATTTTGTGGAAATAATTACACAAATGTATATACACACATGCTTGTCACTAATGTTTGTAATAATGTTTGTAAGAATTAGGAACAACCTAAATATATATCAAGTAATTAAATTTCTGATTAAATTAAACACATTCCCAAATGCAGAATATTTGAAATGATGAAGTGGGACAACATACAGGCTAATGCCAACTTACACACGTGTATCATGTCACGAAACAATACTCTGTGAGATACTATTATTATTCCCATATTAGATACAAGGAAATGGAGGCACAGAGAATTTAAGTAACTTGTTCAATGCCCCAAAACTGGTCACTGACAAAGCTGAATTTTGAACTTAGAGGGGACAGAATGAATAAAAATTCCTCCTTATCTGCTCCAGGCTGACATTTCAAGCTCGCATCACCAGAGCCAGCACCATGCATGTTCTGACTGATCACACACACTGCAGCTCCAGCACCAGGCATGTTCTGACTGATCACACACACTGCAGCTCCAGCACCATGCATGTTCTGACTGATCACACACACTGCAGCTCCAGCACCAGGCATGTTCTGACTGATCACACACACTGCAGCTCCAGCACCAGGCATGTTCTGACTGATCACACACACTGCAGCTCCAGCACCAGGCATGTTCTGACTGATCACACACACTGTAGCTCCAGCACCATGCATGTTCTGACTGATCACACACACTGTAGCTTCAGCACCATGCATGTTCTGACTGATCACACACACTGTAGCTCCAGCACCATGCATGTTCTGACTGATCACACACTCTGTAGCTCCAGCACCATGCATGTTCTGACTGATCACACACACTGCACCTCCAGCACCAGGCATGTTCTGACTGATCACACACACTGCAGCTCCAGCACCAGGCATGTTCTGACTGATCACACACACTGCAGCTCCAGCACCATGCATGTTCTGACTGATCACACACACTGCAGCTCCAGCACCATGCATGTTCTGACTGATCACACACACTGTAGCTCCAGCACCATGCATGTTCTGACTGATCACACACACACTGCAGTTCCAGCACCATGCATGTTCTGACTGATCACACACACTGCAGCTCCAGCACCATGCATGTTCTGACTGATCACACACACTGCAGCTCCAGCACCATGCATGTTCTGACTGATCACACACACTGTAGCTCCAGCACCATGCATGTTCTGACTGATCACACACACTGCAGCTCCAGCACCAGGCATGTTCTGACTGATCACACACACTGTAGCTCCAGCACCATGCATGTTCTGACTGATCACACACACTGCAGCTCCAGCACCAGGCATGTTCTGACTGATCACACACACTGCAGCTCCAGCACCAGGCATGTTCTGACTGATCACACACACTGCAGCTCCAGCACCATGCATGTTCTGACTGATCACACACACTGCAGCTCCAGCACCATGCATGTTCTGACTGATCACACACACTGTAGCTCCAGCACCATGCATGTTCTGACTGATCACACACACTGTAGCTCCAGCACCAGGCATGTTCTGACTGATCACACACACTGTAGCTCCAGCACCATGCATGTTCTGACTGATCACACACACTGCAGCTCAAAACACTGTCAATGTTAGGACACCCATGCACCACTCTGAACTACATGCAAAAGTTAATAAAGACCACAGCAGACAAATGGGTTTCCATTTTAAATTGGTCAAGTGATAAAATATATATAGGATGATGGGGAGTAAGTTATAGTAATATTAGAGAAGTGCTTTTGTGGTACATAAATCATTAAGCTGCAAAAGTGGGTACATAGGGCATGTATGGCAAAGGTAAGGCCATGGAGACAATGCTATGGAGATGCAGTCACAAAGAAGCAATAGAGCTGGGAACAGAGAGATCACTGTACAAACTAAATCTTTTACTCTGCGTGAAATGAAGAGAACTAATGGTCTTACAAACAAAAGACAAAAATAGAAAATTGCTAGTCATATTTTCAAAAGATATTCTGACATCCAAAAGGAATATGTGTGAAATGAGGAAAATGAAGTTTTCTTTTGGTTGGACACTCAGAGGGATAAATAAGATGGTAGGTTTCAGGGGCTGAATCAGGGTTTCAGTTTCATGTATGGCAACTCTAGAGATATGTTCTGTGGATCCCAATAGACTGGGAAAGCGCTGGAGAAGCTTGGAAGGAGCACTCACCGAGGAAGGGGCAAACACAGAAGTCTTAAAAGCCATTAAGTAAGAACAGACAGTGAAGTTTAGAGAACAGACAGACCATGGGTAACCTGCATAAAACCAGTTTAGATGATCAGAAGCAAGCCTCACTGTAAATGAGTTTAAGGGTGAACTCCTTTCACTAACAATAACAACAAAAAAAGCCCCACATTTTTAATAAAAAATGAAAATACAAACTCATCTCTTTATCTGTTTCTGAACCAGAAACCTGAGGTTTTTGCTAGGCTAGCTCACCAGTGGGCTTTCAAACACCATAGAATCTGAATTCAAGATCTCTTCAAGACCTCTCAAGTCCCTAACTTTGTTAGGTTTTAATCACTTGTGGAAACCGAGTCATAAGAAAATCAAGATTTACTTAAAACTGTTTGGAAAGTGAAAATTATAACACTGGCAAGACCTTCCTTTGGGGTTCAGCACCCAAACCTTGGAGGCCTATTCAACAAGGTTAAGAGGGTCAAAAAGAACAGCTTATATTGTGGTCCTTGCTCTTAAATGTCAGCCGGCAACTACGGGATGACAGGACTTCTTTAGTAAGTCATCTGTCATCTTGATTAGTGGCCACGAAATCTCCAAAGATTGGGCTCTAGCCAGCATACACCCCAAAGGGAGACTAATCAGTGCAGGTGGACAAGTCCTTCCCATATGGCTCCAGAGGGGGCTACGTGGTCAGCATGGAGCTACATGACCATGATCCATTCCTACAGAAAAAACTAAAGGAGACTGCTGACTTTATTGTTTTTTTCCTTTTTCTTTTCTTTTTTTTGTTTGTTTGTTTTTCGAGACAGGGTTTCTCTGTGGTTTTGGAGCCTGTCCTGGAACTAGCTCTGTAGACCAGGCTGGTCTCGAACTCACAGAGATCCGCCTGCCTCTGCCTCCGAGTGCTGGGATTAAAGGCGTGCGCCACCATCGCCCGGCGAGACTGCTGACTTTAAAAGAAAAAAAAAAAGATAGTCTTAAATACAACATATTAAACAATTTTGCCAGTTTTATCATGTATGTCAAATTCCAGAAGTTACTGACTTGACTTGTCCAATATTAAAAACCCTATTTTCCAGGAGATACTCAAAATGAGAAGCAAGAGAGACCCACTGAAGGAGTAAATCAACTGAGTACTTACACTTTCTCTGAAAAAGATGTCCCATAGATAAACTTCGGATAGGTACCTATGCCAATCAAGCAAAGCCTTTATTGAACTCCCTATTCTCCTTAAATAGGTATTCAGAACTGCCTCTTTCAAAATTCAACAAACTGTTTCTGAGACATTGTAGCCTACACTGGATATGACTGTTTGTGTTCTGTCCTTGTTCATTTAATTAATGTCTTCCAAATTCCAATCCCTAAAACTTCATAATGCCAACCCTTGACCCCATGACTGGCATGGTCTCCTTCTACCAGGAGAAGCTGATCTATCTGTCTAAAGTAATGAATGCTTTGCGTCCCTGTATTCCAAAGTTAGTGTGAGCCCTAAACTCCCTTCATTGTTTCTAGTTGGTTCCAAAGCAGCTAAGATCAGTTGTGATCCTATATCACAAAAGATTGGGTCCAAGACTCTGAAAAGAAAATGTCAGTATAAAAAATAAATGTGCAAGCCAGGCAGGGGTGGCACACGCCTTTAATCTCAGCACTCGGGAGGCAGAGGCAGGAGGATCTCGGTGAGTTCGAGGCCAGCCTGGTCTACAAAAGCTAGTTCCAGGACAGGAACCAAAAAAAAAAAAAAAACTACGGAGAAACCCTGTCTCGAAAAATCAAAATAAATAAATAAATAAATAAATAAATGAATGTGCAGCCGGGCGGTGATGGCGCACGCCTTTGATCACAGCACTCAGGAGGCAGAGGCAGGCTGATCTCTGTGAGTTTGAGGCCAGCCTGGTCTACAAGAGCTAGTGTCAAAACATGTATCAAAGTTACACAGAGAAACCCTGTCTTGAAAAATGAAAATAAATTAAATAAATAAATGTTCAAAATTAAATACATTCAAGTGTTAAAGGTAAACAAAAGATCTCAAAGCTGGTTATGCACTAACTAGCCAAATTAAAAAGATTAAAGAAGAGTAGGGCTCTAAAAAATGAAATCTTTACTGCTAACCAATTTTGGTTATATTTGGCACCAAACCAATAGATTTAACGGTTTATAATGAGCCAGTTCATGTCCAAGTGTAAAGCACATTAAGCTGGTAAACTGTTCAACGCTGTTGGGGCTCAGAAGCTCTGGAAGCACAGACTCCAGAAGACACATAAGGAAGTGAGAAATAGAAGGCTGCTGCATTAATTACATTAGTACCACCAGAAACCACACATAGATTCAAAAGGCTTTCAAATATTCTTAGGTACAACAGGCCATGTAGGAAACTTTTGGGCAGACAGAATTCTGGAGGAAGGTGTTACTTACTGGCAGGCCTGCTGCAGACAAAAAAGGAACAAAACCAAAAGATTACCTCAGCAGCTGCAAGGCTGAAGTGTATTCCTCGGAATCCCACACATTATCATCCAGACATGTGCAATATAGCTCCCTGATCTATAAATGAAAGATAGGATTAATGAGGAATAAAATTTACCCACTAAGTTGTATATTAAGCTAGGCAAAATATACATAGCAAACAAAATATGATATTAATAAAAATTTTTTACTAAATTGTAAGAGACTTCTTAGTATATATTTCACTAAATTACAAGAGACTTCTTGGCATATATTGGATCAGACACTACAAAAATATAAAAGTCAAATAAAATTGTACTGGGAGTGGCTGACACCAGTCACTTATATATCATTAAAGTTGGAATAAATGGCTGATTGAAGATTTAATAGCTAAGTTAGCAGAAATTCCCACAGGTCATTCCTCTATTTGATCTCTTAAACTCTTAACTAAAGATCTAAAAATTAAATATTCTATTCACATGCATTCGCCACATAGTTCATAAGTTTGGGGTATAATACAAGGTCAACTGAGCAGAGTACTGTGTTTTAATTCTTGGTAAAATGCAAGGTTAACCACTAAATTATTATTATTAGATAAATTTTAAACAGATTCTACCTCTCAAACTAACTCTCCCTGTGCACACGACAAACGAAGTGCTAGGGTTGTGTTAGCAAGGTTACATGCTACAGCCCAAATGCAGAGGAGACGAGCCACTGGAATCCACATGGCTATTTCTAGCTATGACTTTCAGGAAAAAAAACAAAACTAAAGAAACAAACAAAAAAAAAACAATTTCTATTATGAGTAATGTAATAAGCTGGAATAGATTGTGTTCTTAGCATAAGAATTGGCTCCATTTGCCTGAGTGTTAGAGAAATCAAAACAAGAAAGTACTATTATTCCTACGTTGTTGACTCCAAATGAAGAAATTTTATACCTGCCGGCCCAGTGGGTACTTGGGAAGACAAGAGGTAAAATTATGAAGACATCTCAAAACGAGGAAGTAATTCATATGATAAACATGCAAATTTTCCAGTAATAATTGAGTTTCCTCCTGAAAAAACAAGAGTACACTACTAATATGCAAGGCAGTAAAATAAAATTTAAACATTTATCAATACATACTTTTAGTACCACACATCAGAACTGTATTCTGATGTAATTTAGCGTCTATCCTGAAATCCACTCCACCAATTACACACTTATAGTAGAGCGTTTTTATCTTCTGTCTGCCACTATTAAGCAAGGAAGCGCCACAGCTCTCCTCAGCGTCACTGAAACAGCATACTGCCGTAGTTCTGGCCAACAGTTCAACTGAGTGCTCCTTTGTGAATTTTATCTGTGACATCCCTGTGGTCCATAAGCAAATACAGTGCAGACCACTCACTGCTTATAATCCAACCATAACAGGACCTTATTCTAGAAGAGTGAGGGAAAGAGGAGTGTAATAAATAAGCCAGACTCTTTAAAATCTTGCATCAGGCCGGGCAGTAATGGTGCACACCTTTAATCCCAGCACTCGGGAGGCAGAGGCAGGTGGATCTCTGTGAGCTCGAGGCCAGCCTGGTCTACAAGAGCTAGTTCCAGGACAGACTCCAAAGCTACAGAGAAACCCTGTTTCAAAAAACCAAAAGAAAAAAAAGAAAAAGAAAAAGAAAAAAGAAAAAAATTCTTGCATCAAGCCAAAAGAAAGAAGAGAAAAAAAAAGAAAAAAAAAGAAAGAAGAGAAGAAAAAGGCCAAAGCATATAGTTGTGCACATGGGCACACTCATTCAACAGCTCCCAGTTTGCCCTTTGAGCTGCAGGATGGCTGCTTCTGCAGTGACATGAGTTGAAGAAGTTGAAGTGAAGATGATTACTGAAGACAACATATCATTCAATCACTGGATTAGGAGAAATTACGGTGGTCCTGAGCTGCAACCCTTCTTCCTGAGGGTTAGCTTTCAGTGTGTTGGAAGTTGCCAATGGAGAAAGGTTATGAACAGTTCTACCTCACAGAACTGAAGAGATGGCTTAGAGGTTAAGAGCACTGGCTGCTCTTCCAGAAGACCTGGCTTTGATTCCCAGTACCCACATGGCAGCTCACAACTGTCTGTAACTTCATTCTAGCTGATCCAGCTCCCTCACATGGATATACCTGCAGGCATGACACCAATGCATATTAAAAAAAAAAAAAGTCTACCTCGCTGGAGAAGCTGCAAACCATTGGCACAGCAATATATCCCCAACGCTGCAATATTGGCACTTATATCTTGTGGGAAATACACTAATTGGACTTACGGTCCACTCAACAGAAGGGAAGTCAGAAATTTGATTATAAAGTCAGGCACACCTGCACTTAAACCCAGCACTTGGGAGGCAGAGGCAGGAGGATCTCTGTGAGTTTGAGGATAGTCTGGTCTACAGAGAGTTCCAAGACAGCCAGGGCTACACAGAAAAGCCCTGACTAAACCTTCTCTGGAGAGGAAATATGTCTATTTAACTAAATAACTTAATATTACATATTGTCATATAAAGTTTGTACATAATATGATACACAGAATACATAAAGCTATGCACTTAAAACTGAGATCAAATTTTATACTAGTGAAAAATATGTAAGTCATAATGTGATCTGCAATTATAAAAGCTTTGTTATATTTTTCATCTCATCTTTACCTGCTGAATAAGCTAAGCAGAAATCACAATAGGAATTATTATTTCATTTTCTATATAAGAAAACTGAAGCTTAAATTAGTATTTTTTTTTTTTTTGAGACAGGGTTTCTCTGTATAGATTTGGTGCCTCTCCTGGAACTAGCTCTTGTAGACCAGGCTGGTCTCGAACTCACAGAGATCCGCCTACCTCTGCCTTCTGTGATTTTAGACTGTGATTTTGGGAAAAGATTAAAATATTCACAGATACTTTTACTCTAAATTAGAAATACCAGCATACTAATTATTTACATAGACATCTTTTATATGACTTTAGTAAGTAGCCTATAACTTAAGAGTACAAACCATATGCACTTCTTCATATTTCTAAGTATATGAAGTCTTGAGAAAACAGGTCCTTGAAGGACAAAATATACAGTGCGAAATAAAATGAATACAGCAAAGAAAATAACAAACAGAAGGTAGTGAAACAAGAATAAGACACAAATAAATGCCTAGGAAATATACAGTTCCTGCAACAGATAAATATCATGCCATTTCTGTACTAGCCTCGACAGGCTCTTCTTTATGTCAGTGAGTCGAGGGTACCATGACAAGTATTCCTGACTTGCGATAACACGCCATGAATGTACGAGCAAGAAATGTACCTAGCAACAGTTGACTCAGCAGAGAGTTGATACTAATCTTAAACTACTTAGTCTCACTGGTTCTGACATTTCTTCTAGTGAAATCACCTGCATTGGCTCCAAGAACTTCCTATACTGCACTGAAAGGGTTATAGAGATTATTCAGTTACAGACATAATTTGATGCCAGCCTATCTCAAAAAATAAACACATTTTTTAAATGAAAGAAATATTTAATAGACGCTATCGTCAACATATTTTGGAGATTTTTTTAACATTAAAATTTCATGGGGCTGGAGAGATGGCTCAGTGGTTAAGAGCACCACCTGCTCTTCCAGAGGTTCCGAGTTCAATTCCCAGCAAACACATGGTGACTTACAGTCATCTACAGTGGGATCTGTTGCCATCTTCTGGTGTGCAGGTGTACATGCAGATAGAGCATTCATACATAAAGTAAAACAAATCTCAAAAGAATAAAAAACTTTATTTTAAGAATTTTCAAATAAAAAAGCACCATGAAGTGAAATTATTACATCTAAAGTCCAAAGAAGATTTTATAATATAGACAAATTAGTTTTACGATTCCACAGAACATATGCCCTCCCCGTAGGATCTAATATCTTTTGTTAGAATTTACAGTCAGTAAAATTCACACTTAAAAGTTAGGCTTCTTTGAGCTCATTTTCAGTTGATGGCCAGTTTTCTAATAGCTTTCTTCCTAGACAAGCACGGTAATGTAAAGCTAATGAGACATGCGAGGTCTCTAAACACTACCAGTAAGAACGTTACTAAAGAAAACAGGGTCATTTATTCAACAGGACACCATGGCACGCGCTTTAGCAGCAACATAGAATGATGTACAAAATTAAGTGCAAAATCCACATGCTGAGGAACGTCGTTTGTCTTCAAGAAAGAAGAGTTCGCCAGTAGACATAATTACTGTCACATGTGGACTCTAGTTCTAGAGTGACAGATAAGAAACTAGTAACCGTAGCTGTATGAAAGAGTAGAAGTAGTCTAAAGATTAATGGGCCAAGGCTGGCCTTGCCTGAAATTACAGTTGCCTTCGAAATTATATACCATATTATTTATCTCCGAGATAAAAAATTTCCTTTGACAGATTCTATGTCGATCTCAAAACAGGACAGAGTCATTTTGAAAGAGGAACCCACAATTGAGAAAGTGTGCCATCATACTGACCTGTGGGCCAGCCTACAGTGCGTTTTCTTAATGTCACTGATGTGGGAGGGCACAGCACACAATGTGTAGTGCCACAGCTCAGCAGACAGTTCTGGGTTCTAAAAAAGTCAGGCTGAGCAAGCCAGTAAGCAGCACTCCTCCATCACCTCGACATCAGCTCCTGCCTCTAGCTTCCTGACTGCTTTTTTTCCATTATGAACTGTGATGTGGATGCATAAGCACATAAAGCCCTTCCCTCCCCAAGATGCTTTTAGTAATGGTGCCTAATCAAAGCGATAGAAACCTAAACTATAGCACCAGTATACACCAACATACACAATGATTTGCTTTAGAATGTCACCTTAACACTTATTGTCATATTTATATTCACCTTTAATCATATTCATCTCCCCAATGGTCCCTTCCTGCTCCAAAATGGGTCTTACTTGCATGTTATTGCTGTTGCTGTTGTTTTTAATCTGGATTACACACACACACACACACACACACACACACACACACACACACACACAACTAATAGACTTGCAACAATATCACTTCTTTCCTGGCATTATCACTATATAATAAAATGAAGTCAACTAATAGCGGATGTCCTTCTGTGTGTGTGTGTGTGTGTGTGTGTGTGTGTATGTATATATATATTGCTTTTATTAAGTTAATGAAAAAAGCTGTTTTTATCGATGGCTTAGCAGAGTAAAGCCAGGTGGGAAATCCGAGCAAAGCAAGATCATGATGGGTTCACCCACTGAAACAGTTCATCTGAGCTAATGGGAGCTCAGCAACTCCATTTGGACAGGAAAGGAAACAGCATAGGTCCAAACTAGTCCCTCTGAATGTGGGTGTCAGTTGTATGGCTGGGGCAGACTGTGGGGCCACTGGCAGTGACACCAGGATTTATCCCTGTTGCTTATATTGGCTTTTTGGGAACTCTTTGGATGGATACCTTGCTCAGCCTGGATACAGTAGGGAGGGCCTTGGATCTTCCCCAAGCAAAGTGCCTTACTCTCTCTGGGGAGGTGAGGGGGAGGGGAGAGATAAGTGGAGGGAATGGGAGGAGGGGAGGGAATTGGAACTGGGATTGGTATGTAAAATGAAAAAACAATGTTTTCTCTTTTAAAAAAATAAAATTAAATAGAAAGAAAGGAAAGAAAGAAAGAAAGAAAGCAAAAGAGAGAAGATGAGATAACACCACGGCCACATGGCAATACATGGGCTAATTAATAGAAATGGGTTAACTTAAAATGCCAGAACTTACTAGGAATATGCCTGAGACATATTCTGGCCAGTGTTGTAATTAATACAGCTTCTGTGTGAGTATTCGTGCCTGGGTGGCTGAGAAACGAAAGCACCGTCTCTGTCTACAAACAACCCCAACTCCTTAGCAGCAGATGGTTAAGCTGCCTAGCTTCTACAAGCTTTTATTTAAAACAGTCTAAGAAAAAAAAAAACAACAAAAAATCAATACAGCAAATCTCTACTGATATAAAGAAAGATTCTTTGTGAGTTGTTTAAACTTGATTTTGTCATGTATAGTACTCACTGCTAGCTGATTATCAAGACTCAGCACCTCATCCTCCGAGTACTAAGATATACAGGTCTATTTTATAAAATTAATCAACGTTTGAATGCATATTCTTTTGCATGAAGAAAAAGGCAGTAAGGCACACACATTCCTACCTTTAAAACTGTCTCATTGGTCAACAGTGCAACTTGCTTTTCTGAAGCTTGTTTTTCCACGTACCTAAAATTTTTGTCATCCCATACAGAAAAAGGGGAATATTAAGCAATTTGCATATTTGAATAGCATGTTGGAAAAATAACTACCTAGAATGGTTTCCCTATTTTTTATATTTCTGGTCAAAAATAAATTCAAGATAACAGTTCAAAATTGCCTTAATGATAATTATTGAAATCATAAAGGTGATATAATATCATTTCTAAAAGATAACTCTAGAGAACTTACAAATTATGTAAAATATTAGTAAAAATATTTTTTTTTTTTTTGGTTTTTTCGAGACAGGGTTTCTCTGTGGTTTTGGAGCCTGTCCTGGAACTAGCTCTTGTAGACCAGGCTGGTCTCGAACTCACAGAGATCCACCTGCCTCTGCCTCCCAAGTGCTGGGATGAAAGGCGTGCGCCACCACCGCCCGGCTAGTAAAAATATTTTTATGTTAAAATTTTAAATCCAACAAAGAACCTCCATTACTAAAAGCAGTATGGTTCTACACTGCAATAAACTAGCATTCCATTCCTCAGTCCAAAGCCAACAGAAGCTAGCATTTTTCATTTCATCCTAGTCTCTAGTATAAAATATATTAAATATAGACTCATCTTTTTACCTCCTAAATGATGGAAGGTGCCGGATGTTTTCACATTGATTAACTGAGAAAAATTTTACTCTTTTCTTGGCTTCTGGGAGATCACAGCACAGAACACTCAGGGGTTGCAAATAAAAATGTTCTAGTAGAGAAAGCTGAAAGAAATAATATTTTTTTTATAGTTTGGTAGTAAACATTTTGCCCTTTACCTTCTTAATTTTAACTCTTTTAAAAGCAAACGTATATATGGTTGGAGAGCATTTGCTGCTCTTGGAGATAAGAGGTTGGGTTCCCAGTAACTAGGAGCCAGTGACCATTTGTAACTTCAGCTCCTGAGAACTGGACACTTTCTTCTGGCCTTCAAGGCACTAACAGACTTATAAGACAAATACCAACGCACAAAAATAAAAATAACTATTAAAGCAATTATGTTACAATAACATCGCAACAGTACTTATAGACCTTTCAAGACTACAATTCTGTGGACAAGGTCAGAAAAAGTAATCTCAGAAATACATACTAAAAGAAAACAAAGCAAATAGATGAATACATTAGTGCAAAATTAGCTAAAAGTATTGCAAAAATTATATGGATGGGACTATTATATGATCTAAAGATCTAATAGATACTCAGAAGACATTACCCCAAATTATACTACCTGATCTCTCTGTTCAAATAAATAAAATGTTGCAGTTCAAATAAATACAATGCTATACCTACTGATAAGAGTAACAAAATTCTGTACCTTCAAATTCAGTTTTAACCCATCCAAAAAAAAAGTATATGCACTAGTAAAGAACTCAAATAATAGACTGCTGCTGTCTTCATAGAGATGACTTTCTAAATTCTACAGTGATTTAATAAGATTATCATTTTTTTTTTCTGATTTTAAGCAAGCTTGTTTATTCAGATTACCTTGTATCCCATTCTGTTTTCTGTAGCTATGATAAAGATCATGACCAAAAGCAATTTAGGAAAGAAAATAAAGGGTTTATTGGCTTAAATATTCCAACCACAGGCTGGGTGATGGTGGCACATGCCTTTAATCCTAGCACTTGGTAGGCAGAGACAGGTGGATCTCTGTGAGTTTGACGCCCGCCTAGATTACAAACCCAGTTCCAGGATAGTCAGAACTGTTTTACAGAGAAACCCTACCTTGAAAAACCAACCAAACAAACAAACCACAAAAAAACAAAAACCAACCACAGAACATTATTGAGGGAAGCAAGAGCAGTAATTCTCATAAGTAGAGATGGAACCACGGAGAAATGGGGTTTACAGGCTTGACTGGGCTTCCATTCAGCAACCTTTCTTATACCCAACCCCAGGATGAGCTGTCCAGAAGTGGCACCACTCACAGTAGGCTGTGCTTTCTCACGTTAATCAACTATCAAGAAAATGCCACTATGACATATCCAGTGTGGTAGAGGGATTTCTTCATTTGAGGTTCTTTCTTCCCAGGGAAACTTTACAACAAATTGACGAGAAACCAACACACCGTATTATTGGACTGATAGGACTTTAGAAGATAGCATTCCCCAAAGGAAGTTAATGATTTAACATGCTCTTATATATACAAATTTTAAAATATTTGGTTGGCTACAGGGTTGCTATGATGTTTTCTCTATTCTGAGTCTCTACAGAGCTGTTACACATGACTTCACCTGTCAGATGGCACTTCTGTGCCTAAGACAGTCACACTTAAGAGTTTCTAAGTTTCTAAGGATAAAAAGATTAAGATTTTCATATTAGACTTTTCCAATAAAGGTTATAATATACAGGTCTTAATGAAATTGACAACTGGCATGTACCCACAATGACTATACTTTGATAACTTAGGTAGTTCCCAAGAAAAGTAATTAATATTAACTTTTAAACAACTGAAAAATGGGGTTCTTTTTAGGTTAAAACCAATGTTATGAAGTTAAGATCAAGAATCAGTTTACACAATTTATATGACCCTAATGAGCATGCATTCACAATGCATACAAATAAATATTAACACACATTTATACTGAATAACAAAATATAGCATATCACTTATTTTCATATAACTAAAAAATGTGGCTTTACAGTTTGGAAAAATGTCAGCAGCAAAGGCCACAAACACACACAGAACAAAGCTGAAGACATCCATTCTCTGGCTCAGCAGAGAAGTCTGTTGGTCCCTAATAAGTGGCATTCCTTAGGTGAGTTCATCAAGTTCTAACCTCAATGGTTAAGACTCTAATGGAAAGAGCTCTTTTCCATTACTGATAACACAATGTTATCTTCTACAGGTGACTGCAAGGTAAGAAAGGAAAGGTGGGCCCTAGACTTTATTCTTTCTAGATCTTACTGTGAAAATGTCTTCATCATTATACTAGTCGATCGGGAATAATGCACACGACGTACAGATGGCGAACTTTCAAACTCACCAGTATTTCTTACCTTAAGTCCTTTGATGAAGTTTCGAATGGAGAAATCATGATATAAAAAGATGTTGGTCAGGACCTGTAATGCCTTTTTACTTATTTTAAAAGGAAATTGAGCTGTAAAAAGCAGCTGAAAGAGACAGAAGGGTGAAAGACATATTCCTTAGTCTTCATTTATCATGAACATGAAGGATAAATAGCAAGACACAACAAATATGAAAGCAATAGTAGCTATCTATACTGTTTCTTTTTTAAGATCAAACATCAAACAAATATAAATTTTACTACTTGAGAGTGAAAACACCAAAAAGCAATGAGCATTACAATCCCAGTGTGTGTGGAAGGCGATCTTACCAGGTAGTCCTGGCTGTCCTGAATTTACTATGTACACCAGGTTGACAAAAACAATAAAAAAATAAATAAAATCCACAGAGCTCTGCCTGCTCTTTCTCCCAAGTGCCACCATTCCCATGTTCAAACTACATTCTAAACCAAAGATGTCTGCCAGCTTCCATTAAATCCCTGATCTTCAAGTAATGTACATATATTTATTTAGTTATATAGTTAGCAGTATAACCTCTTTTCTCATACCAAAAGATTAAAAAATTGAGGCATTTTTTTGCTATCAAATAAGTCTTCTCTCCCATCTGATCCAAACTAGTGAAGAGTAGTAAGCTATCTGGTACTGAATGAGAACATATGAAGAACAGAAATGATTTCTCTTTTTGAAACTACAGAGCAACCTGCATTATTTGGTTAGTTTTCAATGAGCTACAGTGATGCTTTACATTTGAAAATCAAACCTTATACCAGAATTTTTTAACAAAAGTATATTTTCACAAGGACAGTTACATTTGGTTATAATGAGTCAATTTTAAACTGAAGTAATTTTTTCTAATGTGTCAATAAATCAGAATGCAATCTGCTGTGAACAGATGTGGAGAAGTGGTCAGTAGAGGACCAAACAGGTTGTCATTTTACCCTACACAACCATCAGTTTTCACAGACACATCTTACTGGAATCTAGGATGAATCTGTGGCAGTCGATAATAAAGAACCATACTGCTATTGACACAGAAATGTTATCGCAGTTAAAGTCTAAGTTTAGCAGCTGTTGCTAAGAGCAATGTGACAGTTGTCAAATTCCACAGAACAACCTCAGGGCTGGAGAGAGGGCTGGAGCTCATGAGCACCCATCAATCAACACCCTCTTCTGACCTCCAAAGGCCCTACATCTGTGTGGTGCACTTACATCTATGCGGACAAAACACTCACACAGATACAATAAAAGTAACCCTTAAAACACTTAAACCATCTTATCTAAAATATAAGGTCAAAACAGTCTGGTAATGGTCTGAAGTCCATAAATTCTGTAAAATTTTACTTATTACTTTTACAACTCAAATCCAGGGCTTGCCTTCTATACTGCCAGACAAGTGGTTGTTAGTGGGCTGTATCTCTAGATCTCTAAATTAATTTTAAAAGCCTAATCTTTTCAACTAAGTAATGAAAACAAGAATGAATATAGCTGGGTGGTGGTGGCACACGCCTTTAATCCCAGCACTCAGGAGGCAGAGGCAGGCGGCTCTCTCTCTGTAAGTTCGGGGCCAGACTGGTCTACAAGAACCAGTTCCAGGACAGGCTCCCAAAGCTACAGAGAAACCTTGTCTTGAAAAACCAAAAAGAATGAATAGATACATAAAATCACTTTCATAAAGCTTATTTTTATTTGAGAGGCAATTTTATACAGAGAGAGACTATTCAAGAATAAACATAATTTAATAAGAGTATTAAAAAATATGCAATAAGTTGAACAAAATCTGAGAGACACATGATTTATTGGTATCACTTCTTACAGACAATGGATGTCTGGTAGTGTGTGTTTCACTCCATGGCACGGGTGGTAAGCATAATTCCTTTTTACCTTATCAAGCATTACTGTCAGGTGCTCCTTGGAAGACAGAGACTGGAACAGCTCTATGCACAGCAGAGATGACACTGCATGAGGAAGCAGTCGATGGATAATAACCGGAGAAGTGGCGATTCCAAAAATGAGAATTAGTGGAAATTCATGCAGATGCTGACTGGTTTTTAAAGAAAGATACAAAAGCTTCTTCAGCAAATGTTTTTCAATATATTACACTTCAAAATGATTATTTTAAGACATTCTTATTAAGTTTTCTAGGTCATTCATTTGCTTTTTAAAGTGAAAAATAATAAAATGGCCACTTTCCATATTGATTCCAATCAATCCATATGTATCCTTTTCTTTTATAAACAAGGACACAGAGATCCATGAGATAACCAAAGTTCTGTAACAATGTGTCAATATCACTTAAAATACTCTTACTAACTTTGAGACTCACCTAGTCTTCCTCACATCAGTCTCTCCTTCCTTTTCACACATACATAGCTTTACACATATGTAAGGAATTTTTTAATGGACATCATTCAGAAGAATCATATCCCTTCCTTCTATTTCTGTCCTAAATATCCTGAATGTGATCATATCAGCAAGGCTAAGACAGAACAAACAGCAGCCATGCAGTGGAACTGCACTATTCATGAGGGGCTCTGCAGATCACACCTCTCTGCACTTCCCTCCTTCCTACTGCTTTTCAGTGTGGGCTGCATGGCCTTCTTTCTCCATTCACAGGAACTATAAGCACAGCACTGTCTTGCGTCTGCTCTATGTCCACAGCACTATCAAATCCAAGTTAAACACTGTTACACACCACATTGCACATCTGCAGAGAATGTTACAAAGTTTAAAAAATGTCTTAGGACATTAACCCAAGAAATACACTTCAACAATAGAGAATTTGCTCAGGCATGCATGAAGTCTTGGGTTTTATCCCCAGCCCAGGGGGGAGGGGTTATTAAGGGGATAGACGACTATATCTACAACTCATTATTCAATGAAACAAAATCCTAACAAAATCACATTCAAAGTAAGACTTTTTAGTATGTTAACTGACATACAGAATATGCATGACAAAGTTAATTATATCCTAACAAATATACAACAGAAGCAAATGTCATGGGAGTTTAAAATAGTAAAATAAAATTACTTCAATTTTAAGTCTCATAAGATTGCTTTAAAATACTCATGACATTTAAAAAAATCTTACTGCAAATATATAGAAATAAGATACTTTCATAATGAAAACAGTTAAGGAGGTAATATTTGTAAGATGAATGATATTTTATACCTTTTTACCAAGTTAACTAAGAACAGGTGAAATCTGTCTGGTCAACCTTATGCTAAAAACCAAGAAAATAATTTGCTACGAAGTCTTTGAACATTCACTTTTGGAAAAAAAAATCTAAAATAGTTCTGAATTTCATTAAGCTGGTCTTAAAATACTATGTTTTTAAGTTAAAAGTATTGTTTTCTTACCACAAAGGAAATTTTACACAAAAAGTCAAGTAATTGGATGTGAAGAGTTTAAAGGGATGGGAACAAGAAGAAGGGAGAGAAAGCTAAAGGAAAGTGAAACCAGATACACAACATGCCTTATGGAAATCTGCTACTTTGAATGCACAGGAAAATAAAACAGGGATCAGTGATACGGCCCAGCAAGTAAAGGCACACCTGGAGACCCGAGTGTGAGCACAGGACACCCATTTGCAGCTATCTAATCTCCACACATGCACATGGTACTTGGACACAAACAGCAGTAACAAATGAGAATACGAAGGCCAAGCAGTGCATCCTCTACCTGCTGATGATGATGAAGTCCTGGAGTACTTTCGTGCTGAAGCTCTCCATATTCTTCAGGATGAGCACAACAGGAGGACACTGCCATTGGCTACAGGTCGTCCTCTTTTTGCTTGTCAATTTGAGGCCTGTCGTCTAATGGAGGAGTTAAATTGTCAAACAATACCATAATGACACTTGTTAATGTATTTCTTTCTATATTTCACAATAACTGTTTTTATTTTCCCAAATAAATAAACAGTTACCAGCAGAATCTGTTTGTAGACCTGGTAACAGTAAGAAAAAGGTTCAGTATGACCCATAACACATAGGAGACAGATTTTCTGCTGAAAAACATAGGAAAAGAACCTTTAATCTTTGCTCTAACCTGAGCTTTGCTATCATTGTAAAGGCACAATAAATGCAGTATTATAAACTTTAAACCTTGAAATGGACACTAAGTATTTGGTCAAACCAAATTTAAAGACACTGGACTTAAATTACCATGAGTTTGATTTCTAAAAACATTAAGAGTTTGGATCAAATTAAGCTATTACCATAAGCATTCTTACATAAAACGCAATGAGATTTCATGTATGACTTCAGCAAAACACTAGAAAATTCACCCCAGTCCATGAAGACGCTCACAGTAGAATGACATCATACTTTGTTGAACATATATTATGTATTGCATTGTTTTGTTCAATAACCTTCTTTATACAGTAATGTTTCCCAAGAATTCTAAACATGGAACTAAAATTTAAAAATTACAGAATTACTCGTCAAGTACTAAATTGACAGCAGGAATAGGTGATATGTGTCTATGAAACAAAAGCAAATACTGAAGAACTTAGGGGGTAATATAAGGAAGTTATAGCTATTATTGCAGAAATAGAATTTCCAACAGAACAAACTTTGGATGTTTTCTCTTTGCCATTTCATGGACTTCTCCAACAAATATAATGTCTTCTAAGAATCTAAGCACTCACTAGTAATTAATCTACATACTAGAAGAATGCTTTCAAATTCTAGTAGCTTCAGAAAAAATAGCTACCACAAAACTGCTATCATTGCTCTACACACTTGTTTATCAGAAGGATGAGCTTCAACTGAAATAACCTGGGCCAGCCTCTGAACACCCAGTCTCCGGTACCTGTGTGGCAGTCGTGTACCAGCTGCAAAGGGAGTCCATTGAGTAGTTGGTCGTTCTGAAGGTCTTCACACTTCTCGTCTCTTTGGATTTTTCATCTACACAGCAGTCTATCAACTGTGAGGTCAACTTTTGTAAAAAATGTTTCACATCTGCAGAATATAAAAAGCAAGAAAACTTATCCATAGAAACCTTTGCTAAGCAGATTGCATTATTTGAGTAGAATATACTTTTTCTATATTTCATCAATATAGCTATCATGTGCTAAATACATTATTATTACTTTTTAGTACCCTTCCCTTAATATTTAAATTTCATCAAGGGTTGGACAGATTCAGCTAGTACTATACTTGTCTAGCGTGCACAAAACCCTAGAGCTGACTGCCAGTTCTAATAAATACAATGTTCTAATAAAAAAATAGTTCTAAATAAAAACAATGTGGTCAAGCATGCCTGAAATTCCTGGACTTGGGAGAAATTTAAGGTCATCTTCTGCTACATAGTAAATTCAATGAAAGCCTGGGTTATATAAAACCCTTTCTAAGTAAGATGAATAAATACATCTCATTAGTTCAGACTAAGATCAGATCAAAATTTATATGTATTATCTACAAGTGTCATCTAAGCAAATGTAGAGGCAGGAAATTATAAATTATTTTTTAGAATATCATGTATTTATCCTTAAAATCAAGAATTATTTTACTGATTATAAATCTTGATTTACACGCATTTAAAAAAGACATCCTTAAAAGACTGTAATTCTAATTTAGTACATTAAATCTGTTATCAGTCCAGATGCAAACAAATCTGAGTATGATAGTGTGTGCTCTTCATGATTTAATGGCTTTACAAACTCAAGTCTGGCTCTGCCTACAACTGTATGTTTAACCACTGATGGCCTCTGCAAGTGGAAAAACAAACGGACTTATGGCAATGGGTGAGACATGCACAGAGAGGAGGCCAGGCAGAGGAGGCAAGCACTGAAACAACTCACCAAAAACCACGCCATTTATATTTTACCTGGACAATCCTTAGCTTGCAGTGAGACTACATATGGTGTGACATTATTCTGAAGAGTCTCTGTTAGACTTCTGAATATTAAATCATGATCTGTGACATTCACACCTATGGGAAAATAAACAACATCATGTCATCATCTTTTTAATAATTTAACAAAGGGTATTTTTAAAAATTAAGTAAAGCACCAAATAAAAACAATTTAAAAATGCCATTTTCAATAGAAATCCAGAAATTTACAACATGATTGACTCTACTCACAGAATATGACATGGCTAAAGGAAATGTGGTACAGTTTACTCCTGAACAGCCTAAGGTAGTTCTCAACATAGTTCTTACTGAGATGGGAAACCTACTGGAGTAAGTTTGGCTGCTGTCTACCCCTGCCTCTCGAGGTAAAGCATTGTGTTAACGGCCCACTATTCCATAATACACTATCTCCCATATTTCTACATGGTATGGTGATGAGAATCTCAGGCCCCAGTTTGCACCTGCTGCATAGGAGGTAGTCACCTAGCACCTACAAACAGGGTGAAGATATGCTAATATCTTCAGGATATGCTAATGTAGTTCCGCTCCTTTTTTGTACTTTAGAGGACGCCTGGGATAGAGCTCTAACTCAGCACACGTGACAGAGAGGGCATAGAAAGATGTGAACTTGACTAAAGTCATTCACCTGGTTACCTAGGAAACACATGCTAATGAATTTACCTTCAGTTTACGTTTTGGTATAAAGGCTGTTTGGAAAATAAATGCAAGGAATTTTCAGGATGTGAACTCAGGATTTCATGAAGGATCACTGAAAATCTCCCTCCTGATAAAGCTATGTGAGTTGTGTCTTTAATACCAGGCCTCCCCTCTGGTCTGAAAAAATAATTTATGGTCTGGACTGGCACCAGACCCCGACACTTACTATACACAAAACCCTTGAATCCATGAGCCAAACATTTTCTTTCGTTAAGCTGATTATCTATCTTTTTGTCAGTATTGAAATGTTAATACAACTAATTTGTTCAATTCTTCCTTTGAAAAGATTATTAAGCATATATAACTGACCTTGGAAAATAGCTCAGGAGCAATTTCATTCCTTATCAAAGTCACACAGAAATCACTAGTCATTTAAGTACAAGGAACTAAACAATCTAACCCTGTTGTGACTTCACTTAAAAACTGAGGATAAAAAGATGCTACTATTATTTAAATCGCAGTAGTTAACTGAAAAGTGTAGACTAATTTCTGAGACAACTGAAACAAAATTAAAACTTTGGGTCTTTGGTATTTATCAAAGTATCTTTTCACTTAGAAAAACATCAGTTTTTTTAATATTTATTTATTTATTATGTATACAATATTCTGTCTGTGTGTATGTCTGCAGGCCAGAAGAGGGCACCAGACCTCATTACAGATGGTTGTGAGCCACCATGTGGGTGCTGGGAATTGAACTCAGGACCTTTGGAAGAGCAGGCAATGCTCTTAACCACTGAGCCATCTCTCCAGCCCCCCCTCTCCCCCCCCAAAAATCAGTTTTTGGTGCTCTCTACAAAGTACATCAGAATTGGCAGGAAATGTCTCCACTAGTTTGGAATTCATTCTATTAAGTGGTACCTTCCCTAACTAACAATTTGTGACTTACAATCCAGGACAGTCTGGTCTACAGATTGAGTTCTAGGATAGTCTGGGAGACAGAGAAACCCTGTCTTAAAGAGAGAGAGAGAGAGAGAGAGAGAGAGAGAGAGAGAGAGAGGAAGAGAAGAGAAGAGGAAAGGAGGGAGGGAGGGAGGGAGGGAAGGAGGGAGGGAGGGAAGGAGGACGAACAAACGAACAATTCTTTGACATTTTGGCAGATAGCAGCACAAATATTCAACCTGCTTTAAATTTGCCAGACAAGTCATAGGATATAGAAAACAATTTCAGAATCATTCATGCCAGCAATAAAACCTCTTTAAAAATTCCAGAAAACAAATATACTAGCAGACAAATTTACATTTTGCCTCTCTCTCTCTCTCTCTCTCTCTCTCTCTCTCTCTCTCTCTCTCCTTTTAGCAGGTATAGTTGTTTGAATGTGAGCGGCCCCTACATGCTCATATATCTAAATGCTTGTCCCAGCTGGTGAAACTGTTCTGGGAAAGATTAGATGTGGCCTTGTTGGAGGTGTGGTCGTGCTGGAGGAGGTGTGTCACTGGGGTGGGCTTTGAGGTGTAAAGGCCCATGCTAGACCCAGTCTCCCTCTCTCTGTCTACAACTTGAGGATAAGATGTGAGCTCTCAGCTACTGCTACAGCACCATGCCTGCCTGCCCCTCATCATGATGGTCTGGACTCACCCTCTGAAACCTTAGATGGTGACAAGGTCTTAAAGTGTCCCAGGGAATTATCAGGTGAACCTGGGCGAGAAGTGGCTTTGGTTGGAAAGAAATTATAGAAGGAACATGTGGGTCCGAATCTTAATTGCATTCTGGTCATAGTACCCTCCAAACATCCCCCACAGGAATTTTGGTGGAGAGGGAAGATACTATCTTCATCCATAGAAACTAAGTAAAAAATAAAAATCTTATGTGGAAAAGGTCTCTGAGTTAATTCCAAAAGGAAAATTGAGACTTTGTCAATCATCAGGAATAGACCAGCAGAAATTATAGTACTTTCTAACAATAAGGAAATTGATAAACTATGGGAAGAAAGGGAACTCTGGCAAAGAGCATGTATTAATTTTTGGGGGGAGAGATTAACAACTATCCCAAAAGCAAGAGAATCCAATTTTCCAACTTATAAAGACGACTAATTGATTTCCTCCTCCTAAAAAAAAAGAGGACTAACTGGATCCTTCCTCATATTGTACAGGACACACCAATAACTGGAGCCGCTACATTCTATACTGATGCAAGTAAGTCATGAAAGGCAGGTTAAAAAAATCAGAAAATTTAAGTAAAGTAGATCAAAGCCTTCATTATTTTGTCTAAAAGTCAAAACTATATTCTATTCTCATGGTACTAAGGGATTTTAAAGGACCTTTCAACATAGTTACTGATTCACAATATGCAGAAAGTTGTTTTACATATGAAAACTGATGGATTTATAACAGATGACACAGAAATGACTTTATTAATTATTCAGTAACCAGATATAATCAGAAATAGGAATCATCCCGCTGAAGGTCTCAGAATTTCATAAAAACATCATGGCAATAGCTAAGGTTTAAAAAAAGACCTTTTCATCATGTGGCAACAAGCCAAGGAAATCTTGTTCTTTATACAACCAAACACCACTATCTGCAGGAAGTAACCCCAAAGGGAACTCAAACGAATGAAAGTTGGCAGATGGATGTGTTCCATTTTGTAGAACTGGAAAACTTTTTTTTTTTTTTTTTTTTTTGGTTTTTCGAGACAGGGTTTCTCTGTGGCTTTGGAGCCTGTCCTGGAACTAGCTCTGTAGACCAGGCTGGTCTCAAGCTCACAGAGATCCGCCTGCCTCTGCCTCCCGAGTGCTGGGATTAAAGGCGTGCGCCACCATCACCCGGCTATATATTTTACTTTTAAAGATTTATTTATTTTTTATGTACACAGTGTTCAGCCTCCATGTATGCCTGCAGGCCAGAAGAGGGCGCCAGATCTCATTACAGATGGCTGTGAGCCACCATGTGGGTTGCTGGGAATTGAACTCAGGACCTCTGGAAGAACAGTCAGTGCTCTTAACCTCTGAGCCATCTCTCCAGCCCAGAACTGGAAAACTAAAGTATGTATACCACACCATTGATACCTATTCAGGTTTTCAATGGACAACTGCTCTGAGCTTAGAAAAGGCTGATTCTGGTAATCGCACATTGACTAGAAGTTATGGCCATTACAGGTATACCTGAACAAATAAAGACAGTCAATACTCCAGCATATATCTCTAAGAAAATGAAAGTTTGTTGCTTATTATAATATAAAGCATATTACAGGTACACCACACAATCCTATAGGGCAGGCAGTTATAGGAGGATCAAACAAAAATCTAAAGGCTATATTAAATAAACAAAAAGGGATGATAAATACCGCCAGAAATAGATTGCATAATGCTTTATTAATTTTGAATTTTCTAAATGCTAATGATAAAGAAACAAAAGCTGCAGAAAGACATCGGATAGTAAAAAAAACTATAGAAATAAATCAGCCAATATATTTTAAAGGTGTATTGATCTCAGAATTGAAATCAGGACATGTATTACATTGGGGAAGGCAATTTTCCTCAGGAGAAGAAAAGCTATGGACACCATCAAAATTGATAAAATTTTATTTGAACAAGAGACACCTCTTGATTACAGGAGATAATAGTTCATTAAGCACCAATTAAAAAAATATGCACAGGCATGCAAGAATAAACAGATGCATACATACCAAGAATAAGAGCAGCAGTTGGAATTTCTCTGAGTTTCATTTGACAGCCCCAGTTTCTTGAATTCTTCTGGAAATCAGAATGGGACTTTTGCAGAAATTCAATTAGGTTATCAAACAAGTTTTTATTTAATTCCTCCTGTAATTGCTGCAATGAAAACAAAATTTCATGAATTATTAATTAATAGTAGTAATCTGGCATTTCTTTCCCTAGCCTATTTAGGGTCCTATTGCGGGGAACAGGCAACTCTTACAATTGAAATCATTTAATTGGGGCTGGCTTACATTTTCAGAGGTTTACTCTATTATCATCATGGTGCTAAATGGCAGTGTGCAGGCAGACATGGTGCTGGAGAAGTAGCTGAGGGTCCTACATCTTTCTTACAGGCAACAGGAATTGGTCAGAGATACTAGGCATAGCTTGGGAATACATGAGACCTCAAAGCTTGCTTCCACAGTGACACACTTCCTCCAACAAGGTCACACCTACTCCAAAAAAGCCACACACCTCACAACAGTGCCACTCATTTTGGGGGCCATTTTCCTTCAAACCATCATATCTGGTGTAAGGAAATTTCTATTTTTTTCTTCCCTTTGAATGTTCAGTAATTTCAGTTGGGTGGCAATAAATTAAGAGGGTAAAAAAGCCCCACAAATATATCAACACACAATGTATTGAAAGGCAATAAAAGAAGGAGAAAACTTCACACAAATATCTTCAGACACAGTGTATTGAGAGTTAACAGAAGGGGGAAACACACAAATATATAAACACACAATGAGGAGTACACAATGAATTGGGAGGGAAGAATAGAAGGGCAAGATGGCTGAACCTTAAACTGAATTCTGTTTGTTTTGTTTTTTGAAATAGGATTTCTTTGTGTAATAGCTCTGGCTGTCCTGGAACTTGCTTTTTAAACCAGGCTGGCCTGAAACTCACAAACATCTGCCTGCTTCTGCCTCCCAAGTACTGGGATTAAACACATGTGCCATCACTGCCCACTGAATTCTGATATATACAACATTTTCAGTGGTGCTGCTAGGGTTGAGGGGGACAGGATGAAGTCTGGGAGAAACTGGAACCATCTACTGTAGGCTGAAGAGGTAATTTATTTGAATCAAAGCACTATCTGGTGAAACAGAGGGTGACAGGAAGCAAAGTAAGGTAGAAGGACAAATTGTAGAAATAAGAAAGAAAGCACAAAACATTGGATAACTACTACACAGCTAAGTATGAAAGAATCAAACACGAGAGGAACAGAGGCTGCACAAACAGGTAAAAGTCTCAGTCGTGAAACAAACACCATGATTTTAAAGGATTTGGACTTTATACTATATGGAGGACACCCAAACAGTTTATAAGAAGTGAAAGGCTAATTTGGCACCACTGTGAAGGTCAGAGAGTAAAGGAGGCAGAACTGGTAAGGGGGGCTATATAAAACACATCCCAAAGTCTGGGATACAGCTGCATTTGCCTCAAACAGGGGACTGAGCTAGTGGCAGATTAGAAGGATGTCAGAACACACGCTATAGGGATATTAAGAAATGAAGACAGACAGGAGCTTGTGAGATAGTTGAGCAGTTAAAAGAGCAGAGTGCTCAGGCTGAGGACTGCAGCTCAGTTCCCAGTGGAAGACCTGATGTTAACTCTAACCCAGTGAATCCAGTGCCCTTCTCCTGGCCTCTGAGGCACCTGCACTCATGTGCACCCACCCACCCATACACAAGATAACAACAAGTAAAATAAATCTTAGGAAAAGAAAACTAGAAGATAACCTAACCTGGAGACCATACACTCAAGTATCTTCAAGGACTACATGGAAAGCATCAAAGAGCAAAGTGAAGTATAAAGTGATAAAGATAGATGGGAAACAGTAAGAGACTAGAAAGTGTCGGCTGGAAAGATGGCTCAGTGGGTAAGAGTGCAGACTGTACAAGTTTAAGGTCCTCAAAATTCCCAGCGCCCACTAAAAAGCTCTGTGTAACTTTCACTCAAAACCAAAACATGTTATGCTTAACTAGTGCTAAAGTTAATGCTTAACATTAGCTGAGCAGATTAAGCTGTTGGCACTGGAGCTACTGACTCGCTGTACTGGAGATACTCACAGGCAGAACGTGTAGTGTTCTAGGTCAGCCTGAGCTAGCGTTAAGACCATGTCTCAAGGGGAAACCAAAACAAACAACCATGAAAACTGAATGTCAGACCAAGTTTAGAATTCACTTCCTTTCAGACTTGTGGAACGTCTTTCCTTTAAGAGAGAGTGTCATCACAGTAGGGCTCTGTCTTAGCAACTATCCTGTCCCAGTAACTCAGGCTATGCCTAATATTTAGAACATGACAAATTATTTTCTTTGAGATATAAAAGTTGTGTTTGGTTGTAACTTCTCATTTTCTATGCATAATCTAATAAATCTTAGAAATATGGGAAGTAACAAATATAAGATTTACAGTATTTTACTATAGAAATGTAAAAAGGAAATTATTCACCTCTGTTTCAGATTTCATCCGTTGCCATAGCAAGTGATACGTTTCAAATCGAAGTTTACTGTCCTCAGACCCAAGTATCTCATTATTAAAATAATCCTCTTAAAAAAGAGAAACAGAAACTCAGTTTGTTTTTTAACACAATAAAATTAAGAAACTGTACAGAGACACAGAGCATAGAGAGGGTATCAAAGCATTTTATGCAAATCAAAAAAATCATGTATTTTTTCTATCCACTTGGAGAAAAATGGTGTACTTAATCTTTCGTATTTAATTTTGTCACATTTTTATAATATTAAAAAGGACCATATAAAATTGCAAAGTTCTATTCCTTACAAATCTCTAAGCTTCTACTTAAGGATTTTCAGTTCAAGGTATATACGCACAACATTAATGTTTGCATCCACATTCTCATCTTCTTTAACTTGTGATTACTTTCAACTCTTCTCTACTCAACAGTTTTTCAGATTGTTTTGTTCCACTGACATAGTTTAGTCTAGTCTTTGGTTTAATATGTATTTTTTTCTTTTTTGTTGAAAGGTATGTGCATTGCTAAGAAAGACAGAAGAGGGTGTTGAATCCCTTTGACTGGAGCTAACAACAGATGGTTGTTAGATGCCATGTGGGTGCTGAGAGGATTTAACCAACAAAAATGCTTGGAACAGTCCAGCACATAAAAAATGCTTTATAATGTTACCAAATTTGTTATAATTACATTGCTGGTGGCTTCACATGTATGGTATATGCCTCAAATATACATGAATAAATAAATGAAGGAATAAATCCTTAATTTTCTTTAAACTATTTCTGGTAAGTTGAATCACCTCCAACATTAAGAAGGTTTGCTTATAACCACACTTAAAGTTTTAAGAAGATTTAGGGGAACAAAATCAACAAGTGGATAGGTTAAGATACTTTACCGATTGGCACAGAGATCTTTCTTTTCTTGAAGTCTGGTTTAAACACAAAACAGCCCTATTTAAGGAAAAAAAGAAGAAGAAAAGAAGAAATAAAGCACAAAGTCAAATTAGGCAAAGCAGACAAATCTAATTACCCGAACACTTTGTAAAAAAACAAGTTCTTTAAAAGGGGAGTTTTTCTTAGAAATACAAAGGAAAGATGCCTTCAACAACTGTGCATGTCTTCCTCCTCAGTCCATCAGCTGCTCTCACACGCTTCAGGACCCGCTCTAACAAGTAGGCAATCTTTTTTAGCTCAAGTTTCATAAAACCTAGGTGGGAAATAACATTAAATTATACATTAAAATAAAGATTAAGTGCCAGGCAGTGTTGGCACACACCTTTAATCCCAGCATTTGGGAGGCACAGACAGGCATTTCTCTGTATTCAAGGGCAGCCTGGACTACAGAGAGAGACCTGGTCTACAGAGCCAGGGCTACCCAGAGAAACTCTGTCCAAAGAGCCAAAAAATAAAAATAAATAAATAAAGATTAAGTTTAAAACACTGATACTCTCCCATTCCAAATGATTTATTTAATTAACTCCAAGTATCTACAACCAGGATGTAAGTAGATAATTTTGGCTCGTTTCACCCAGCATCGTTTTTCAATGAATAAACTCCTTTCCACTTATCCATTACCGTCTGGCTCCAAACTCATCATTCACCTCTGTAATCCTGCACTTAGGAAATTGAGGCAAGAGCACTGCCATGACTGAGGCTAGCCTGGTTTATAAAGTGAACTCCAGGCCCCTGGACAATACAATAAACAATTTTTCAAAAAGAGAAAAACTAGGGCATGGTTTACACACTTGTAATCTTAGTGCTTGTGGAGACAGAAGAACCAAGAGTTCAAATCATCTTCCCTTACACGAGTTTGTGGCCAGTCTCGCTATGCAACCAAATGAAATCAAACCCTCATCTCTTGTGGTGAACCCTCCCGGATTCTCTCGCAAGAAATGCTTCTCCCGAGATCTCAGGATTCAAACATATTTGCTTTGTCTCCCTGATAAATTTTGAGCATATTTCCAGCACAGATAGATTTTACTTATAACCACCTCCTCAATGTTTATGGATCGGTATGAATAAATAAATGGCTGTCTAATTCTCCTGGTAATTTTCTAGCCACATTAAGCTTCTTATTATTATATTTGACTATTGGTACTTGGCATCTAAGTTTCTAGCTGTGGTGTATTCTACCAAAATGAAAGCTGCATTTTATGGATAGCCTCCAAGATTTCCGTTTGGAAAATGAGCTAAAAGGAATAAAATGACAAAAAAGTCATCTCCGACTAGTGTTAGACACCTGTGTAAAATATAAAGTGGCCATGTGGATTACATGTTTCAAATTAATTTGTACCTTGTATTCTTATATTTGCAACTAGCAGAGCTATGTGAACTACTTGTACATATTTTGGAGAAGTACCTTGTACCATCACAAGCTATTACTGCACCTTTCCCTAGGGACCTGCACATCAGCAAGGGTAGCGCCGACACAGCAGAACACGGAGAGTTCTAGCATGGGTATTAATTTCATGAACATTAGCACAAGGACAGGAACAAAAGCAATGAGTACTAACATAAACACGTCAACAGTAATATGGTTCACCATGTTAGACTAGAAGGCCATCAGCCGAAACAGAAGGGAAAAGGAGCTAGGTAGTTGTGGCGCACGCCTTTAATTCCAGCTCTCTGGAGGCAGAGGCAGGTGGATCTCTGTGAGTGTGAGGTCTACAGAGCGAGTTCCGGGACAGCCACAACTGTTTTATGAGAAACCCTGTCTTGAAAAACAATAAAACAAGACAGACCAAAAAATATTTATATAAGAAAAATAACAACACCTGATATGTTTAAGGAGAAAAATAAATTAAAACTTTGGCATTTCCATCCATGAGTTACTGAAATGGTCCTGCAAAGTTCCTGTTTATATAAGGTCTACTTCATATTCATTCATCAACATAGCTACTTCTTTTACTTAATAATTTTTTTTTTCTTTTGGTTTTTCGAGACAGGGTTTCTCTGTGGCTTTGGAGCCTGTTCTGGACCTAGCTCTGTAGAGCAGGCTGGTCTCGAACTCACAGAGATCTGCCTGCCTCTGCCTTCTGAGTGCTGGGATTAAAGGCGTGCGCCACCATCGCCCGGCTTACTTAATAATTTTTTAAGATGTATTTATTTTAGGTATATGGAGATTTATCTGCATGGATGTGCAGGTACACCTGCTCGCCAGAAGAGGGCGTTATAAATGGTTGTCAGTCATCATGTGGGTGCTGGAAATTGAAAGGACCTTTGGAAGAGCTGCCAAAGCTCTTGACCTCTGAGCCATCTCTCTAGCCTGCCAACAGATCTATTTCTGTTAGAAGGCAAAAAAGAAAGAAAGAAAGAAAGAAAGAAAGAAAGAAAGAAAGAGGAAAAAGAAAAACGCTTTTCTGGAAAAAATTCTCATTTTCTGTAAATTTTAGAATAAGAGGGCTAAGGCTGGGGACGCAGCTCAGCAATGGAGCACTTGCTCAGCACGCACAAGCTACAGAATTATATCCAGAACTAGGAAAGAAAAAGAAATGAAGTTTTATGCAACGGCATGATTAGGAGATAGGGCACCTAAAATACCTGGAACTTTGTAGTCAAGGACAAATAAAAATAGGAATAACCGTAATAAAAACACGAGCACAGTTAAAAATCTGTTTTTCTAGCAACATCTTTAAAAACCTTATATTAGGGATGGGGTATGGTGGTGCACATCTTTAATCCCAGCACTTGGGGGATATAGACAGGACCACTTGTAAAGTGTCTCCATTTTGGTTGAACTGTGACAATTTCTGTAACTGTAATTTGGCTTCTTGAACTAAAGTAACTTGTTTCTTAGCCAGGTGGTGGTGGCACAGGCCTTTAATCCCAGCACTCAGGAGGCGGTGGCAGGTGGATCTCTATGAGTTTGAGGCCAGCCTGGACTACAGAGTGACTTCCAGGACAGCCAGGACTACACAGAGAAACCCTGTCTCAAAACAAAAAGGTAATTTGTTTCTATATTCTTTTCTTCCCTGTTCCACACCCTTAGAAGTGCCCAAGGAGGGAAGGTGTTTATTTATCCCCTAAAATTCATGAACTGAGCATACACTGGTTACTTTGAGCAACCATGAACTGAGGGTCAACACAGAAAACATTTCAATCTCCTCCAGAACCCTCATCCTGGGAAAACTTTGAAGGGACTTCCTCTGCCATGTGGGCCAGAACTCTCCTCGCACTGTCTGCCATGCTGTCTGCCTACCTGTCTGTGGTGTAAATACCACATCTAAGAAATCCCTCTTAAGAAGGCCAATCCCGCGCAGTATCACCCCTGAACTCCGAACACAAACCCTTTCAGAACTTTATCAGCTTTATCAGACAGTTTAACTCAGGAGTATCCCTCTGTACTTAAAACAGAAGACTTTCTTTACAGGGCATAGTAGCACAGTCTAGTAGAACTTGCTTTAACATACATGTGCTATCGAAACATGGTAGGGGCTAACGGCAAACTTAGTTTTAAGTTATCTTAACTCAAACGCAATAAGCAACAGGCTGCTAGGGGGCCTCCTCTTATAAACTATATTTTGATTTGCACTCCCTGCCATCTAGGCAGTCCATGACACCCCAACACGAACACTTTTTTGAATTACATTTTGGGAGGGGGGGTGTTCGAGACGGGGTTTCTCTGTATAGCTCTGGAGCCTGTCCTGTAGCCCTAGAACCAGAAAGATCCGCTAGGAATAAAGGCGTGAGCCACCACTCTCAGGCCCCTGATTTACATTTTTGTTCTTTTTTTTCCCCCCCTAATGTCCCTTTCTCCACTCTCGGGTTATCCTGATTTTTCTATGTGCTATTTTATTTCTATATTCTAAGGCAAAGGACGTGTCATTCTGCTCTCCCACCCGAGGGCTTTACATTCCAGCCAAGATTCTTATTTTTCAGAGCTTAGCCAAACTGTCACTTTCTCTAAAGCTTCGCTGGTCTCCTGGCAATCCTGGTTCATCGCTCTTCTCTCAGAACCTTTCCCCTTATTAATACGAAGATCTGCTGCTTATTAATATTCCTGATTACAGAAAGGTGTTCTGTTTACGTCTTTATTTCGGTAATTGAACGCACAGGAAGTACTTCTGAGGGAAAAAAAGCTGGAAGCGAGGGGGGAACGCGACATAGTCTTGGGGCAGCCGGTCGGCTAGCCTAGGTGCCACAGCCTAGTTGGCCGAAGCAAAGGTGGCCTCAAACGCGGACCTGAGTTCTGCTCTTCCCGGAGCCGGAGCCAACGCCCGTCAAACCTCCACCTCGCCGTGCTTGCCAAAGAGGCACCGCGGAGGCACCGGCAAGCGCCACCCCCACGTACCTTGGACACCGAGGAAGTGGCCATAATCCACCGCTCCGTGTGCCTGCGCACTGAACACTTCCGCGCGCCCCTGCGGAAGCACAAGCGACTTCCGGCGCGGAGGCGGGGCGTGCGGAGGCGGGCTTCGGGTCGGCATGGCGTGCGCCTTTCGTAGGTCGATCGCCTGTCAGGTACAGTCGCGAGTGGCGAGCCCGCGGGCGCCGGGGCCGCGGGGTGCAGCCTAGGCCGGCTCTGCCTTCTCCCCGAGCAGCGGAGGCGGACGACCCGCGAAAGCACTGGGCGCTTCCCTGTCTTGGCAGTCCCGCTCGTCGTGCTTTAATCCGGGAGGAGTGTCTGTGGGTCGTGATTAGACCCGGTAGAAATTACTAGTCCTCCTTCGTTTGTAGTCATTATTTGCTTTCCCTGTATTATATTTCGTTTCTAAATAAAATATTTTAGAGCGTTGAATAAAGTAGATAAAATAAGGGCCAGGCGTATAAGTGCACTCCTTTAATCCCAGCACTCTGGAGGCAGAGGCAGGAGGGTCTCTGTGAGTTCGAGGCCAGCCTGGGCTGCAAGAGCTAGTTCCAGGACAGCTAGGGCTGTTACACAGAGTAACCCTGCCTCGAAAAACAAAACAAAAAGTTTATGCTAAGGGGCTGCAGTGATGGCTCCTTGGGTAAAAGTGCTAAAGTTCGAATTCCCAGAGCCTGTGTAGAAAAACTTGCGTGGCTAAGGGACTTGTACCCCTCATTTGTTCACAGCGTCAAGTCCTGCCTGAGGTCTGCACAAACTTAGGCTCAGTGTGACTGAGTTGTTTTGGGCAATTCTGGAGATGTTGCATATGCTTCTTAGACATTAAGCATTAAGTCCTGTTTATATCAATGACTTTAATGTACAATCCGTGTGTCTGTATTTGTTTGTGTGTTCCGTCATGTGGAGAGGGCAGAGGACAGGTGTGTTTGTCTTAGGCACCGTCCACCTCGTTTTCTGAGACAGGGTTTCTAACTGAATCTGGGGTTTACCCATTCAGCTAGGCTAGGCTGGCTAGCCAGGGAGCTTCAGGTGAAATAGTGATTCTAGCGTGAGCTGAATTCATTGTCTGGGACAGGCAAAGAAAGAATTCACTGTCTGGGGAAGACAACAGACCAAAATACAAGAAAAACGGGAGACAGAGAGAATGAAACAATGCTTTTTACTAAGGCCAGCTTCTGCCTCGGAAAGGGGAGGGAAGAGAAATCTAGGGTTGGGGAGTCTGGGTCTATTTATGGGAGTTGGGGGGGAGGGTAGGTTTTATCAGGGTTTCTCCAGTGGCTGTGCATGGCCCTCTGGCCCACCAGGGAGATGACCACAGGCTGTTATGCACTACTTGCTCAATTAGGGAAGTGGTCATACTTTGAAGGCCCCTTTCTCCGTCTTTGACTTGCCTTTCCAGCTGTTGTCCATAACTCTTGCTGTCCTTTATCACAGGAAGGCACTGCTAATCAGTGTGCCTTGTGCGCCTTGCAGGTGTTGCTCTTCTTAGTGCTTGGCAGGAACTGTAAGCCCTTAGTTAGCCTCTGCTTTCTTTGTTCTCATCTTTATGTGACCAGTTTTTAGTTTTACCATGGCAGGAAATTAACACCGATCCTAACTACTGTCGTAGCTAATCTTCAGCTCTCAACTGTAAAGGGATAAGAGATGGTTCATTCTGGAGCCAAATTTTAGTAACTGTGGCCTAGGAACATGGATTTATGGTACACCAATTTCCATAGTTCCAGTATGGAAGCAGTTTAATGGAGTATTTATAATAACAAAAAAGAATGTTATAAGTCAAAGCATTTACGAAATATATTGGTGGAACCATTGGTGAGGTAAGTTACAAGATGGGGTTAACGCTTCTGTAGACCTTGGATAATGTCTGACAGCCTCTTAGCCCTTCGCTGGGTGGGAGCTAGGGTTTTGTTAAGTTAATGCACCCTAGAAGGTTTTTATGTTTGCCAGGAAGTTAGGTCTAGGTAGTTGTCTCCAGATATTAGGTCCAAAGGTGGGCGTGGCCAAGAGGAATTGCGATTAGGCTTCAGATGTGTAACATTCCAAACTCTCCACAGCCACTGGAGATTTCATCACTTAGCTACTGCAGACACAGCTTCTTTTCAGGAATTCTCCTTCATATTACCAAGGTGTAGCTGCAGTTTTTCTTGGTTACCTGTACCAGAACTCCTTGTCTGTGGGGCAGTCCGGAGTGGTCTCCTTCCAAAAATAGATACAATTTAGTTCCTATGCATGGGCAACAATGTCTTACATATGTTCCTCAAGAAAGCCAACTGGCTTGCTGATACTAGCACATAGCCCTATCCTCCTCCTTTTTTATGCAAAAATAAACCATGCCGTGTATTTTTATCATATTTCCCCTCCCCCTTCCTCCTTATTTGATCTACTTGGTTATTTCATACCCAGCTTTAGTCCCTTTTCTTCCTCATCCCTAATACCTCATCTCTCCACAGCGCCAGCCCTGGAGGTTGCAGGTCTGTTACCAGGCTCAGCTCTTACAAGAGTTAAGTTAGGGTTCCAAGCTCAGCTCCCTGTGCGTTCAGGACAAGCGCTTTGCCAATTGAGCCTCGTTCCATCCTCGTTGGTGCAATCTTCTGTAAACTCTTCTCCTTCCTCGCTCTTCTTGGTGCAACATCTAGTTCCCAGAAGTCATCTCTCAAACAGATTGCTTGCACCGAAGTTAGGAGGCTTGTCTCCACCACTGCATTTTGACCCGTTGTGGTTTTCTGTCATGGTCTCTGCTTCACAAAGTTCTTCCTCTCTTGTACGCCACACGCCCTAGGAATCGCCAAGTCCTATGTGCCTGTCACAGGATTATTATGAACATGGAAATGCCTATACCACCAAACAGCATAACCATGAAAGAAGTTCCTTACGAACAAAGATGCACCTGTTTCTACTTATTATTTTTGCATTAAGGAGCAATCCTGGGCTTCATGCATACTAACAGGGCAAGTAGCTGGTGCTTCACGGCTGTGTGAGCCTATGGCCTTTGCTTTGATTTTTGTTTTGTTTCTTTACTCCTGATGTTCTGATGGGTAAATCTTTTATGGGGCTCAGGCATGGGGATCAGATTTTTCCCTAATATTTACTTGTTTATCTACTAAGTGCCATAATTTTTTTTTCTGTTTTGTTCATTGTTATAGTATCAATGCCTAGAATACTGTCTGGTACACATTAGCTACTCAATAAATATTGTTTTAATGGAAAATAGTTTTGGATTTTCAGTGATTTGTATCTTTTTTGTATATTTCTTTCAATTTTTTTAAACTGGCAAACATAAAATTCATTGAAAGACAAGTAGTCCTGCTTGCTACTTAATAGTCAAACCCTTATGTTTTACTCAACCCCCGACACTCAGAAATCTTAACCTCAGTCTGATAGTTTTATGTTTCCAAACCTTTAATATAGGTTTCACATCATGTATTTGAGGTTCATTTATGTTCAGTGTGTTAATGACATTTCTTTTATCGCTAGTAGTAGTCCATTCACTCTGGAATAGATACAGCAACAATTTTATCCTGTTCTTTTTTACTTTTAGCTTTCCAGAGTCTTGGCCCTTCCACCAGAAAGCTTGATCAAGTCAATATCTGCAGTTCCAGTTTCAAAAAAAGAGTTAAGTATACTTGCGATGATCTGAAATTTTACTTATCCCTTCAATTTACAGAATAAACCTTAAAGTTATGATTCATTATATTCAACTTGTTATAATTGATATTATAAATTTATAGTTCTATTTAGGTATCTATGGTGAATGTGATATTCCTTTGTTAATTATTTTCATGTTTGGTTTTGCTAACAATTATGTCAGTCTTTAGGAAGGAGATTCCAATTTGTTTAACAATAAGAGAATGACAATATGGTTATAATCTCAGAGCTTTTGAAGGATTATTGAAACTTGTATAATCATCTGATGCTTGAATACTATTGTACCATGTTTATCTCCCAGTTCGGTTTTTGTTTGAGGTTTTATTTGAAGACTCCCAAGCAATAGAGAACTGTTGGTTAGGGCTATGTAAAAATCTATGTTGTTTTCTTAGGTACAGGGAAATGTTTTGTTTCCTTATTAGTGTGGTCATCCTACTGTTAACTTAGTGTTTTGCTAAAATCTTCAGTGCTTTAATAGAATGTAGTCTATCCATGAGTGTATAGCCCTGGGCTGCAGGGACAAACATGTTCAAAGCAAAGAAATTGCATCTGCACTAACATGAAAAAGTTTATTTCATATTATCTCAGACAATACACTAATAACAACTACTTCTATAGCATTTACCTTGTAACAAGGATTAGAGGAATATAAAGATAATTTACAGTATACAGAGGGTATGTGGAGGATACGTGGAAATCGCACATACTGTGTGCAAGAGGCCTTGAGCTTCCGCAGATCGTGGATCTCTAGACGTCTTACAGTCAATCACCAAAGGAGGGCTGTGCTCTCTCAGTTAGTTCAAGACGCCTGCCACACAGTACATTCCTAGCTCTAAGGGTTTAAAGATGGAATAGGAAATTCTCAGTGTCAGTTTACCCTTTGTTGTCTGAATTTTATTAGAACTTTCACGTGAGGGGGCGAATGTTCTCTTCATGAGGAGGAAGAGAAGGCAAAGACTAAAGAGTGCCCATACAGTTACTATTTTTAGCTTTGGAAAAAAATGAAAGTAGGGCTGGATGGAGCGATGCATGCCTTTATTCCCAGCAAACAAGTCAGAGGCAGTTGAATCTCTGTGAGTTCAAGGCCTGACCTACCTAGTGAATTCCAGGACAGCCAGGGCTGTTACACAGAGAAACCCTGTCTTGAACAACCAAAAAAAAAAAAGAAAGAAAGAAAAGAAAAAAAGATGGAAGGAGGAGGGAGAAGAAGAAAGACGCCTGTTTGCTAATCATCCCCATTGTCATTGTTTTCAGTGGTCTTAGCAGTAAGTTAGTTTTAAGCATTGTAATAGACTAGAAGAGTGATTTAGCTTTTCATCCTCTGCCACAAATATTAGAAATATTTGTGACTCCGTTAGACTAATATAAGTTTCCATGTTAAAAATAA